CGAGTTCAAACAGGTGCAGTTAATACAGGTAATGAGTGGAGAACAGGAGGGCTTCTTAAAGAAAAACTAACAGGTCTGTGAGAGCCGGAATTCTTACTGGTTGGTAGGTGATCAAATACTTATGTCATGCAATAAAATGCAAATTAATTACTTAAAAATCATACAAATGTCATTTTCTGGATTTTTGTTTTAGATTCCGTCTCTCACAGTCGAAGTGTACCTATGATAAAAATTACAGACCTCTACATGCTTTGTAAGTAGGAAAACCTGCAAAATCGGCAGTGTATCAAATACTTGTTCTCCCCACTGTACATACACACAAACAGTGCATTCGGAATATATTCAGACAACTTCACTTTTTCCACATTTTGTTACATTACAGCCTTGTTCTAAAATCGATTAAATATATTTTTTTCCTTCATCATTCTACACACAATGCCCCATAATGACAAAGTGAAAACAGGTTGACATTTTTGCACAAAAGAAACTACAACAAAAAACTGAAATACCTTATTTAAAACGTTTGACAGGTACTGTATCTGTGACCAATTGATGCATATCTGTATTCCCAGTCATGTGAAATCCATAGATTACGGCCTTATTTATTTATTCATTTCAATTGACTGATTTCCTTATATGAACTAACTCAGTAAAAGCTTTGAAATTGCTGTAAATTGAATTTATAATTTTGTTCAGTGTGTATAGTTTCTCAAAAGGTTTCGTAAGAGTTTGTTTTACTCTTATCCACCAATAGTCACAATGTTTCCTGTTTTGAGGTTCAGAACATTCTCGTGAATTAAACTGATTAAAGTTTTAGTGTGATGATGCATCATGAAGAGGAGTATTGTGGCTGACAGTAGTTCACTGAGATCTAATTTGGCTTTGTATTAATTATTTAACCCTCGCTACGCAGAGCTGCATTCTGTCAGTTTTAAGACTTGAAGGTGCCATTGGAAAGTGCCACATTTTAGGGGATTGTTTCATCAGCTGAAGCTGTGGTTATACTGATGTAAAAATCTGTGTTGGAATAAGAAGATTAAAACAAGACATTATTGCTGCAGAATTAATTGTCCTTTTTCTGTTGTCATAAACAAAGTCAATGGCCCATGAAAGATTCATCACAGGAAGTTTTACCAAGTACAGAGAGGGAAAAAACTATTTGATCCCCTGCTGATTTTGTACGTTTGCCCAATGACAAAGACCAGTCTATAATTTTAATGGTAGGTTTATTTGAACAGTGAGAGACAGAATAACAACAACAAAAAAATCCAGAAAAACGCATGTCAAAAATGTTATAAATTGATTTGCATTTTAATGAGGGAAATAAGTATTTGACCCCTCTGCAAAACATGACTTAATACTTGGTGGCAAAACCCTTGTTGGCAATCACAGAGGTCAGACATTTCTTGTAGTTGGCCACCAGGTTTGCACATCTCAGGAGGGATTTTGTTCCACTCCTCTTTGCATATCTTCTCCAAGTCATTAAGGTTTCGAGCCTGACGTTTGGCAACTCGAACCTTCAGCTCCCTCCACAGATTTTCTATGGGATTAAGGTCTGGAGACTGGCTAGGCCACTCCAGGACCTTAATGTGCTTCCTCTTGAGCCACTCCTTTGTTGCCTTGGCCCTGTGTTTTGGGTCATTGTCATGCTGGAATACCCATCCACGACCCATTTTCAATGCCCTGGCTGAGGGAAGGAGGTTCTCACCCAAGATTTGACGGTACATGACCCTGTCCATCGTCCCTTTGATGCGGTGAAGTTGTCCTGTCCCCTTATCAGAAAAACACCCCCTAAGCATAATGTTTCCACCTCCATGTTTGATGGTGGGGATGGTGTTCTTGGGGTCATAGGCAGCATTCCTTCTCCTCCAAACACGGCGAGTTGAGTTGATGCCAAAGAGCTCCATTTTGGTCTCATCTGACCACAACACTTTCACCCAGTTCTCCTCTGAATCATTCAGATGTTCATTGGCAAACTTCAGACGGGCCTGTATATGTGCTTTCTTGAGCAGGGGGACCTTGCGGGGCACTGCAGGATTTCAGTCCTTCACGGCGTAGTGTGTTACCAATTGTTTTCTTGGTGACTATGGTCCCAGCTGCCTTGAGATCATTGACAAGATCCTCCTATGTAGTTCTGGGCTGATTCCTCACCGTTCTCATGATCATTGCAACTCCACGAGGTGAGATCTTGCATGGAGCCCCAGGCCGAGGGAGATTGACAGTTATTTTGTGTTTCTTCCATTTGCGAATAATCGCACCAACTGTTGTCATCTTCTCACCAAGCTGCTTGGCGATGGTCTTGTAGCCCATTCCAGCCTTGTGTAGGTCTACAATCTTGTCCCTGACATCCTTGGAGAGCGCTTTGGTCTTGGCCATGGTGGCGAGTTTGGAATCTGATTGATTGATTGATTGCTTCTGTGGACAGGTGTCTTTTATACAGGTAACAAACTGAGATTAGGAGCACTCTCAGCTAATTACCTGTATAAAAGACACCTGGGAGCCAGAAATCTTTCTGATTGAGAGGGGGTCAAATACTTATTTCCCTCATTAAAATGCAAATCAATTTATAACATTTTTGACATACGTCTTTCTGGATTTTTGTTGTTGTTTTTCCTGTCTCTCACTGTTCAAATAAACCTACCATTAAAATTATAGACTGATCATTTCTTTGTCAGTGGGCAAACGTACAAAATCAGCAGGGGATCAAATACTTTTTCCCCCTCACTGTATATCCAACCTGTTTGTTTTTTTCTTTGTCGACATTCCACAGCTAATTGCGCTGTATTTAATGTCATTTAGTGAACCTTGATAAACAATCCTTTAAAGAGAAGCATCTAATTTAGGGCCTCAGCGATGCGTTAAATACCACAACTTAATGAATTCCTCTCTCTGCATCGGGGTTCCTGCTGATGCAAGACTTGTTGGGGTGTGATGAGAGAGAAAATAAATGTAGCCTGAAGTGACTTGAATCTGGTTCACCCGGAGATTCTGAAGTAATTCATCCCAATAAACCTGTGGAAGTCATCTCTAAAAACATCTGAATTTCTTTCCTTCGGCTTTGTTTCCATAGAGACCAGCACTGCTCCTGGATGGGTGAAGTCCCTGCAAACCCAGTCGGCCAGTGAAACACCCCCCTCCCCCCTTCACTGGAGCTAAGGGGCCTGGACCGAACCATGAAAAACAGCCCCAGACCATTATTCCTCCTCCACCAAACTTTACAGTTGGCACTATGCATTGGGGCAGGTAGCTTTCTCCTGACATCCGCCAAACCCAGATACGTCCGTCAGACTGCCAGATGGTGAAGCATGATTCATCATTCCAGAAAACACGTTTCCATTGCTCGAGTCCAATGGCGGCAAGCTTTACACAACTCGAGCCGACGCTTGGCATTACACATGGTGATCTTAGTCTTGTGTGCAGCTGCTCGGGCATGGAAACCCATTTCATGACACTCCCAACGAACAGCTCGTGCCGACGTTGCTTCCAGAGGCAGTTTGGAACTTGGTAGCGAGTGTTGCAACTGAGGGCAGATGATTTTTACGCACTACGCGCTTCAGCACTCGGCGGTCCCGTTCTGTGAGCTTGTGTGGCCTACCACTTCGCGGCTGAGCCGTTGTTGCTCCTAGACGTTTCCACTTCACAATAACAGCACTTACAGTTGACCGGCGCAGCTCTAGCAGGGCAGAAATTTGACGAACTGACTTGTTGAAAGATGGCATCCTATGACGGTGCCACGTTGAAAGTCACTGAGCTCTTCGGTAAGGCCATTCTATTGCCAATGTTTGTCTATGGAGATTGTTTGACTGTGTGCTCAATTTTATACACCTGTCAGCAATGGGTGTGGCCGAAATAGCTGAATCCACTAATTTGAAGGGATGTCCACATACTTTTGTATATATAGTGTATTTATATGCTTTATAATGCTTTTGAATGACACTTCCTGTTTTGGCGGAAAATACCGGGTTACCCGGGAGAAAAGTAACTTATTCTCGGGATGGAACATTTGTAAAATACAGGAAAAATATTCAACCCTAGTCCATGTGATGTCACAGAAATCAGCAGCACTTCCCTAATTGATCTAACAGCCTGTGTGTGTGTCATTCTCATCCTGGGAGCCCATAGAAGCACTCTCCCTCCTTTGTTGCTTGTCCTCTTTAACGCTACCGCTAATCAAAAAATCTCTGTACAGATCTCCTCTATGAGAGGCTCTCTGTGAGAAAAGAACCCAATGCCTTCTCTACTCCCTCCTGAGACTAAGCCTGAGATGGTAATAACGGTTCAGATGAACCCATCTCATTATGGCTACCCAGGCTTGGTGTCGGAGTATGAATACAGTGTTGATGATTGGGTTTTGTTAAGGCTTGGTCGCTCTAATTCCATCTTTATAACAGATCAGATCGATTAATTCAGAAAGCTGATAAAAAGTATTTAGATTCTGCTCAACCCTGGCCTTTGGGATAGATACTTTTCCTGACTGTTCTAAAAAGGTTCTAAAGTTAGATTTTAACGGTATTCTCACAGAAAGATTGCCAAGTGTTCCCCAGTCACCTCACTCTCTCTCCCTCGGTGTTGAGAGGATCATAACTTAACACATCACAACTACCAAACTTAAAACTAATCACAAACATTTCTCTTAAAAGCTTCACCCTCCCACTGCGGAGCTGCAGTCTGCCACAAAGGAAAGTGGTGCATTGGTTGATGCAAATGAAATCAAAACAGTGAGACGTGATGAGGGGTATCTTGTGGCCAGAACTTCATTTGCAGCCAGAGTACCAGGATGAGATCACATCCCTTAAGTGCTCATCAAACCACTTCCTCCTCTTCCTCTCTGAACTTTGGTCACCAGAGGGTTTAAGTTTGAAGTATTTTTTGTTTAGTGTTTGTAACACTGACAAAGCACTGAATGCCCTTATAAGAGTTGTTTTAATAGATCACTGTGCTTTATCATTTATTGACCACTTCACAACAATGTCCACTGTACCATGTTAAGCTCATCGTCTTCAGACCCTATATACCATACCTTTCCTTCCCTGCTGAGCCTCTTTAGACCCGGGTGGGGCGTTGATGTCTCCTGTCCCCTGGAAGTAGATGTATTTCTTCACAGTGATCAAGTTAGGAGCAAACTTCCACACATCCTCCCGATCATCTATAATACACACCATCGAGTCCCCACATGGGAACAGATTCCTGAGAGAGAGCGAGAGACAAAGAGAGCGCGAGAGAGAGTTAGATATAAGTTAAACTGGCACTCCCTCTCCTCTCCTCTACATGTGTAACTCCTTAGGCAGTGTGTCTTTAGGGAATAACAAAGTCCCACAGTAACAGAGCAAAATGCTATGCTCTCTCTCGATCATTACCCAGCCCGAGGCTACGTCCCAAATGGCAGCCTATAACCTATGGGCCCTGGTCAAAAGTCATTTAAAGGGAACATGCTGCCATTTGGGAAGGACTACGCCTCCAGGGTAGAACTGAATTCTGGCTCTCACTCTTACCAATAATTATCTGAACATCATAACTATACAAGAACCACAGTTTCTACCATTAGGACTTTGAGAACGGTGTTCTAGTACGCTTCCTATAACAGGAGTCACTGATTAGAAGAAATACTGCATGGCTATTTTCCCTCTGCTCATCTCTAGCACTGTCATGCTAGAGCTGGAAGGCTCAGTTTTATAGTGCTGTATTGTCTGAGGGGGCAAAAAAGTGACTTCAGATGACTTGACTGCTGCCAGGTTTTAATCAACACTAAGGTCTAGTAGTTCCAATCATTACAGGAATTCCCTCTGTTGAATTCTTCAGCAGTAGTGGCTGAGCGGAAATACATTTCTCCCAATTCCACAGGATATCTCCCTTGAGTGAATTAATGCCTTTTCTCCAAAGTGTCGAAATGAAAGATAACATATCAGCTATGTCCTTTTCATATTGGACAGATTCTTCTTAAACGTCCTGGCTGAAATTGCTATTGGTATGAGTGTCAAAGTGTGATGTGTGGGCTTCAAAGCGGTATGTGCTACCAGCTCTGCCAAAGAGACAGAGACCCAGGTCTCACCTTAGGTTCCCTGTCTTGGAGAAGGGGTCGATGCATTCGTCTCTGGACAGGATCCTGTGAGAGAACAGCTTCATCTCAGGGTCCAGGAAGCCTGCAGTCACAGAAACAGGCGACAAGAAAAGCATCTTAAAATGGACTCAATAAATTATGAGAGAGACAGAGAGAGAGAGAGCTTGGTTAATAGTGTGGCAGGGGGTTCGGTTCCGCACGCTGGGCAGCAGCAGAGAGCAGACTCAACTGCATTAAACATCCTATTTAAAAGACCACTGTGGAAAAGTAGGATGTATTCAGCAAAGTGAAGGTGCCGTTTTGCCAAACAGACAATCTCCATTACTCTCCAGCCATCTGGCGCTACACAGAGTAGCTGTACAACAAAGCTTTTGAGTCCATTTAGAGCCAATTCTCAAGTTCTCTCCCTTTGCTGTGCCTTTATCTGGAGGTTTTCAATTTGATCTCAAACGAAATTGCTGGCATCGGTGTGTGTGTGTGTGTGGGGGGGGGGGGCGTCTCTGTATACTCAGTGGGCTCATTAAAACATCAAGGCTTTGAGATGAGAACTAAATGCAGGCTGGGTCTTATCAGTTCCTCTTTAGAAGCTGTACAATAATACGTGTCTGGAGGAGCAACAAAGACTGGTTTGATGGAGCAGCTACATCCCCACTGCACAACAAACACCTCGCTACCTGGCTGCTATTAAACCACAGAGAAGAGGGAGCAGACAGGTGGGCAGGCGTCTACCAAAGCACACAACAGCAAACCTATCTACCTGGAGAAACAGTCAGAAACACGGTGACCTCTCTGCTCCACAGACTAAGTACTACATTACCTATTCATTCGCTTCCAACGTTCAGTATAGAATAACTTCTAATTGGTAGCGAAAGATCGTCTCCAAACTTTGACGGGCCATATGCGGATAATTAGATTTATAAAATGCTCAAACGTGCATTATAATTTACTGTAAAGTGAGATTTATCTGAGCCTTGCTGTTGGAAAACAACTACAGTAGAGCACTGTATTACAGCGGGACTACCGAGTTACCCGCAGGAGCCAACAGAGAAGTGTGCGACGCGGTCGGAATGGTTCATGCTGCTGGCGGTCGGTTTTAATTTAGAATGGAAAACAAATGTGTTTATGCAACAAATGTTAGTGCATCGAATATTATCACACTGATTCGTTCTTCTAATCAAACCGAATCGTTCCTATATCGTATCGGAGCCCATGTATCTAGATACATATCGAATCGTCTTGAAAGGGAAAGATGCACCTCCATATTATCTAGGGGATATGGTGACATTTGGGACGCAGCCCAGAAAATCTGAGTACAGAATGAACCTAAGACACAAACTGAAGGTAAATGCTGCCCTCTAGTGGCCACTCAGACTTCAAGCTCAGGATTTGCCTCCAAAATGCTGAGACCAATCACATTGAGGCATGTCTGTTAGTCTTGTTTGGTGTCTAATTTCTCAATCTGGGGAGTGTATTGATTAAAATTCTCACCTATAATGCAGACAGCACTCAGGCATTAAGTCTAGATCTATAATTAGGTAGTGATTTTACAGAGGATCTAGGGCCTGGGAACAGTGGGTTAACTGTCTTGCTCAGGGGCAGAATGACAGATGTTTACCTTAGCTCAAGGATTCGATTCAGAGGGGTTGGGTTAAATGTGGAAGACACATTTCAGTAGAATGCATTCAGTTGTACAAGTGACCAGGTATCCACCTTTTCCTTTCCCTCTCCTAGATGATTACGTGTGTTTCAATTCACCTGGCATTTAGAGTCTGTGCACTCACACTTTTGGCATGTATGCGATTGTTGTTGTTTAGTTTTTTTACACTTTTGATACTTTTTGCATTACTTGCTGTAAATCTAATTATATAGTGATTCAACATAGGGATAATTATCAGAGAATGTTATGTACCTGCTAGTGTGTGTGTGTGTACCTGCGATGGTGTGTGCGTAGAGGCGGCTTCCGAAGGTAAAGACATGCAGCTCGTAGAGCTTGGCGATCTTCTCCAGGAAGTCTTTGCAGTGCGGACGCAGTCGCGTGTGTAACATGGGCTCCCCCCGCCCCAGCTGGAAGTGGAAGATTCCCTGTGGAACAAGAGCAGAGGCATGGGCAAAACCATCATTGGTTTGTTCTAGCTACATAACCACCAGTGGTTTATTATCTACTCTTTTCAATACCAAACCCTCAGCAAAGCCTGGGGCATAGAAATACCAAACAACCTATTTTCATAGGCCAGCGAAAAGGATTTCAGATACACATACCTTGTTGGACATGCGCTGGCAGTGATGCTCGGTGGTGTGGATCAGGGTCTGGTCCAGATCAACCATCAGAACCAGCTTCTTGTTCCTGTGGAGTCTCTGCTGGTCCTCTCTGCCCAGCTGCTCTGCTTGCTGTGTGATGGGCAAATCACACAGACCCGGCATTCATAAAAAGGGGGCCATGGCTTCAACAAAACTGTCTCTACTACATTGAAAAGTTGCATTCCAACGACACAGAGGTATTTCTACAAGGTCACATTATCGTCAGAGGAAACTCATCTTCTAGTGCCATGACACCCCGAGCCTCACCTCAGAGCTGACCATCAACTCGGGGACACTGTGCACCATGGAAACATTTGCCGTGGAGATGAGAGCCTGCTGCATCCCATTATTGGTCTGCATCCTGAGAAAGAGAGAGCGAGAAAAATCTACTTAGCAATGCATCTTCAATGGATAAGAGGTAACCTACAACTAAGAGTTAGGCCTATTTAATTTTTTTGTGAATATGCCAATTGAAATTGTAGCATGGAATAGGTTTGTGTGTGTACTTACTGTGTGAGGTCCTGGCCACATTCAGCACACAGCCCCTTCATCACAATGGGATGGCTGCATTCTTTTACTCTGACAATCACACCACTGGAAGAGAAGAGGCACTTCAGACAGCAGCATAATGGGTTTCCCCCTTAAAATCCTTAAGAGTCTATTGATGCACCTGTGGAAGTGGCCGAGCTACAGCGCTGTTGATCAGACCAGGAGACATCCCCAAAAAATTTATTCTCACGAAATATACCACAAAGATGAGACTCTCACGAACACAGTGTTCTCCGTTGTCCAAAAAACCCAAATTATTTCCTGAGCTTTCTTAGATCTCCTAGATGTAGGACAGACACTTCAAAACCTTATTCCTTATTTTTTGACTGTCTGTTTTGCCATTTATGAATGTGTTATGCAATGCATTTCTTTGGGCTATAGTCGTAAAGGCCAAATTCAATATTTTTTATGTATTTTCTTGGGATACCTACAGAGGTCCTAAAGTTCAAAATCAAATAGCTAAATGATCCATGGTATGGACATCTTAAAACAATTCCATATGTTAGCTTAGTAACTTAGTAGAAAAGCTAAGAGTTTTATGGGCCGTTTCCCTGACAGAGTTTAAGTTAAATCAGGAATAGGCTAATTTTACTTAAATTAATCCAGATTTAAAAAATGGCTTTCTGAGACATTGCTTAAATTCAGATTAATTAGTTCTAGACTAGGGAGTCCCAGACTAAGGTAAGTACGGACTAACCAATTAATCTTTGTGAAGCCTAATTAGATTAATGATGTGCACTGAGGACGCTTTAAAAACCAGGGATGGGACACTAATAGATAAGCATTGTGTGGAATTGGAGCAAGTCACCTAAACCAAACAATGGAGGTAAAATAAAATTTTCAAATCATTTCAGTGACTTTGAAAAAACCCTCTTGAAGCAAATTGTGTCAAACCACCCAATTAGAGAGAACAAACAGTATGATTCATCAACAGAAAACAAGAAAAAGAATGCCTGGACTACCATTGGTAATGAATTCAACTCAAATGAAAAAGTAAACCAAAAGGACGCTACAACAACTTCAGGTAAGATACTGTATTTATTGTTGGCCCACTTTTACAAATCTGAGTCACAACACAGTGGGGCCTAAATGTATGTGTGGCAGAAACAATATCATACATAATTACTAATATAATTTCTATATCATCTTGTCATTCTAAGGTCCTGTGGAAAAACATAAAAATCTACTTAAAGAAGACAAATGCTGTTGCTTGTAGGGAGCATTTCAAGACAGGTGGCGGACCCCCAGTTCCAATCCTTATTTGGTAGGACACATTCATTCAACATGTGCCATCCCAGCACTGCAGGGAATATGTAATGTTGTCAGTCATCTCTTGTACTCCCATAATACAAATTATGTAATGAACTCAACTCTTTAATAAATAATGTTCTTTAAATGCAGCAATGTAATCATTTTCTAGAGACAGATGACTACCATAGCTTGGAGGGGATAAGACAGGGTGAAGTTCAGCCCGCTACATCTGCAGCAGCCAGGAGGGAAGATTGTGTCACTAACCCAGGCCGGAGGACAAAGACAAAGTGGCTGAGCATGCAGGAGAAACTGGCCATGGAATTTCATGAAAGCAAACTAAATGTGTTTAAAAGAGGAGCATTATATGAAGATGCAAATCCTTCATGTTGAATTGGCTATGAAGGAGGAGGAGAGAAACATGAAGCAGCACCAATGTTCTTCTCAAACCAGTTTGGGTCCTGACATTTCCATTAGTGAATTAAAACCATGCTGTTTGAGTTAATTGTGAAGCACTGCTGTTGCAATTATGACAATGCAGCATCTTCTTGGTTGAAAGCGTAATGTGTTTCTGAGAGACTAGAAATTACTCTTCCATACACCAAACATGCGCTCCACTACACCTCTGATGTGGATATGTGCTTGGTTGTACTGTTGTTAATCATTTCCTATTGTACTGTTGTTGCTCATTTCCTGGTTGAGAAAATTCTACACTGTTTGCTCAATTTGATCATTGTACAATCTAAACAAAGAATATCATTTTTACAGCTGTTTGAAGCTGGTGGACCAAAACCTCTGTTTGAATCATAGATGGTACAATGATTCCTTACACTATGCCGCGCTTATTTTTTCAAAAACTGAAATTGAGCTAACGGTGTACAATTTTAGCAACCAAGAAATGAAAGAGCAAATTTCCAGTAGTTAACACAGCCACAAAGTCAGAACAGCTTTCCCAGTTTGACAACAGTAGCTGCTCCGTCAGGAGAAATCAATAGGTGAATATCACAGCCAATCACAACACTGGCAGGTAAGTAATACTGTGAAACACTATCATTACACTATTTGCGCCATATATATACAGTACAAGTCAAAAGTTTGGACACGCCTACTCATTCAAGGGTTTGTCTTTATTTTTACTATTTTCTACATTGTAGAATAATAGTGAAGACATCACAACTATGAAATAACATATGGAATCATGCAGTAACCAAAAAAGTGTTAAACAAATCCAAATATATTTTATATTTGAGATTCTTCAAAGTAGCCACCCTTTGCTTTGATGACAGCTTTGCACACTCTTGGCATTCTCTCAACCAGCTTCATGAGGTAGTCACCTGGAATGCATTTCAATTAACAGGTGTGCCTTGTTAAAAGTGAATTTGTGGAATTTCTTTCCTTCTTAATGCGTTTGAGCCAATCAGTTGTGTTGTGACAAGGTAGGGGCGTATATAGAAGATAGCCCTATTTGGTAAAAGACCAAGTCCATATTATGGCAAGAACAGCTCAAATAAGCAAAGAGAAACGACAGTTCATCATTACTTTAAGACATGAAGGTCAGTCAATGCGGAACATTTCAAGAACATTGAACGTTTCTTCAAGTGCAGTCGCAAAAACCATCAAGCGCTATGATGAAACTGACTCTCATGAGGACTGCCACAGGAAAGGAAGAGCTAGAGTTACCACTGCTGCAGAGGATAAGTCAATTAGTTACCAGCCTCAGAAATTGCAGCCCAAATAAATGCTTCACAGAGTTCAAGTAACAGACACATCTCAACATCAACTGTTAAGAGGATACTGCGTGATAAGGGCTCCCGAGTGGCGCAGCGGTCTAAGGCACTGCATCTCAGTGCTTGAGGCGTCACTACAGACCCCCTGGTTCGATTCCAGGCTGTATCACAACCGGACGTGATTGGGAGTCCCATAGGGCAGCGCACAATTGGCCCAGCGTCGTCCGGGGGTTAGGCCGGTGTAGGCCGTCATTGTAAATAAGAATTTGTTCTTAACTGACTTGCCTAGTTAAATAAAGGTTACATTTAAATAAAAATAATAAAATAAAATAAAATTCAGGCCTTCATGGTTGAATTGCTGCAAAGAAACCACTACACCAATAAGAAGAAGAGACTTGCTTGGGCCAAGAAACACAAGCAATTGACATTAGATCGGTGGAAATCTGTCCTTTGGTCTGATGAGTCCAAATGTGAGATTTTTGGTTCCAACCGCCGTGTCTTTGTGAGACGCAGAGTAGGTGAACGGATTATCTCCGCATGTGTGATTCCCACCGTGAAGCATGGAGGAGGTGGTGTGATGGTGTGGGTGTGCTTTGCTGGTGACACTGTTGGTGATTTATTTAGAATTCAAGGCACACTTAACCAGCATGGCTACCACAGCATTCTGCAGCGATACGCCATCCCATCTGGTTTGCGCTTAGTGGGCCTATCATTTCTTTTTCAACAGGACAATGACCCAAAACACACCTCCAGGCTGTGTAAGGGCTATTTGACCAATAAGGAGAGTGATGGAGTGCTGTATCAGATGACCTGGCCTCCACAATCACCCGACCTCAACCCAATTGAGATGGTTTGGGATGAGTTGGACCGCAGAGTGAAGGAAAAGCAGCCAACAAGTGCTCAGCATATGTGGGAAATCCTTCAAGACTGTTGGAAAAGCATTCCAGGTGAAGCTGATTGAGAGAATGCCAAGAGTATGCAAAGCTGTCATCAAGGCAAAGGGTGGCTACTTTGCAGAATCTCAAATATAAAATATATTTTGATTTGTGTAACACTTTTTTTACTACATGATTCCATATGTGTTATTTCATAGTTTATGTATTCACTATTATTCTACAATGTAGAAAATAGTAAAAATAAAGAAAAACCCTTGAATGAGTAGGTGTCCAAACTTTGACTGGTGCTGTATATATATTTATTATGGACATTATCTGAAATTACAACACAAAACTCAAAACAAATCATGTGTAACACCATTAAAAAGGGGCTTTACAGTGCAGGTGCCTGATAGAATGGCAACTGTCTCTCCAACATGTGTAGGTCTATATCTAAACATAAACACAACTTCCCCTCACACTTCTCTATAAGACACTACAGTAGTGCCTCCATATTGAAAAGCACCAGGGCATAAACTGTCATAAGTTTCAGAACTACAAAATCAGAATGACAACTCTACTGACACGTTCAAACTTTAAAAACTGCAACAAGAAGGGGTGTCTTCTTCAGCTCTAAGTTAATATTTGGCCATTTTCAGTTGTCCATAAATGTTGTCATGTTATTATACAGTGGTGTAAAGTAATTTAAAGTACTACTTAAGTAGTTGTTGCGGGTATCTGTACTTTATCATTTATATTTGACAACTTTTACTCCACTACATTCCTAAAGAAAATAATGTAATTTTTACTCCATACATTTTCCCTGAAACCCAAAAGTACTCGTTTATTTTGAAATGCTTAGAAGGACAGGAAAATGGTCAAATTTACGCGCTTATCAAGAGAACATCCCTGGTAATCCCTACAGACTCTGATCTGGCGGACTCACTAAACACGAATGCTGTGTTTGTAAATGATTGTCTAAGTGTTGGAGTGTGCTGCTGGCTTTCCGTAATTTTCTTAAAACAAAAATATCGTGCCGTCTGGTTTGCTTAATATAAGTAATTTGAAATTATTTATAATTTTAAGTTTGATACTTAAGCATATTTAAAACCAAATACTTTTACTCAAGCAGTATTTTACTGTGTGACTTTCACTCGAGTCATTTTCTATTAAGGTATCTTTACTTTTACTCAAGTATTTACTCAAGTATGACAATTGGGTACGTTTTTGTTACTTGTTACACAAATTCATAACACCAAAATCTTTTCTGAGGCTCAAGTGGAACAAAGTATTCTTAGTTCTTGTTCCCCCAAAAGCGCTCGAGCGTGCAAATTCGACGACTCGATACCATCTGGATGATGTCATGTGCGTGGTACTACAATATTGGGTTCGTTTTTTTTGCATGGCCCGGTGCCTGTTGTGGGTGGATATTCCACTTAAGGACCAATGGAATGGACTAAAATGTACAAACTCTGCCTACCCAGGGCACCGAGCCATGTAAAACGAACTCGCCCGTTTACATGCTCCATCCAGCTGTTGTAGAGATTGGCGCTCCAGCACACGCACTGGGTTAGCATAACTAGCTAACGTTAGCATTTATTAGCTAGGCTAGTTAGCTATGCTACTACGAATCTGGTCCATGAGTAACAACATTAGCTAACGAACATAGTACACAACACAGTATAAAACATTGCTGACATAGGCAACATAAGCTATATAGCTAACGTTGGTTAGCTTGCAGACTCACCCAGGCGATATGACTTGTCCAAGTTGACAGCATAGCTCTTTCACCACTCCAGCTCGGTCCGATTTCAGCTTCTTCTCTGACAGCCGATTGGGCTGTTCTGGTGGATGGGACCCGGCCTCTTTCTCCGGCGGGATGGGAGCACATAATGCCAACACCGAGTCCACATTGACGAGGGACCCGGGTTTGACTTTCCATTCCAGCAGCCGCATAGGACGCGCTGCTATTGGGCAGCGAATCTCCGCCACTTGCGCCGTGGGGCCCTGTGCTGCCCCGCCACCGCCGGAATCTGCGGGCTCCTCCATCGGTTTCGTGCTTCAAATCCCTTTAAACTGTAGGCACAGATCAAGCAAAGATATATATCCAAGTCGCGTAGAATTCGGTTTATCATAAATTATTGAAACTGAGTTAAGAAACAAAAACAAACGTGCCGCTGATGTTTGAAAACACAACGACGCAAGAACACAGACCGATAGTTCAGCTTCTTTCGCTCTTCCCGCCCGTAAACAGGAAACACAAGACTGAAGCGACGACAATCAGACAGCTTCCGGTGGCTCTGATGACAGAGGTCCTCTCTACTTTCACTGAGTTCCACACAACATTAATTTAAGTCGATTAAAATACTTTGATCAATGGAAGGAACAGCTAGCATCCATTTGTGTTTAAATAAATGTGTCAGTTTGAGTTTCATACACAGCATGTTAAAGATAAGTTGAAGTTGGGATGATCATGTAAACAAGATGCTAAAAAAATCAAATGGAAGATGAAACATCATGCTGTTTTGTTTTCCACTCAAACATTGTTTTGTTCCACTTGAAAGCTCTGGGGACATCTCTTGATGGGCTCTACCTGATATGATGTAAGATGATGTAATGTATAAATCATGCATCTACTCCTGGTGACAACTAGTAGAGTTGCTACCACTGATCTAAAGCCACATGAGGGCCTGATCACAGTAATTCGCACATTGATGTTAATGTAAACAGTTATCTATAATAAATATTATTTAGGCTATGCTGGTGATGTGATGGTGAGAGGCTTGGAAGGAGGATCACACATGTGCCTGTTTTATATTTGTTTATTAAACTCAAAATGTTCAAGTCAAGATGCAGTCAGTAGTATTTTATCGTTATCATTTAAAGCAACATTGTTTTAATTCCACAGACCATACTCTACTGTAAACCTGACTGTAAACAAGGTTGTACAGAGATGGCACACTTTAATCGTTTCCGTTACATGTAATGTAACTAGCCACATTAATTAATAATGTACAACTTCCATTTCTGATTCAACCACACAAATACATGCATTATTCTGTACATTTGTGATTTCAATTAAAAAAGTCATTACTTGGGTTGATTAATTGACGGTCCCTGAAGAGGATATCGAGTCAAGTCATGAATCTTTTCACTAGAGAAGCTTTGATCACATCGAGTTGGACCATTTGTCACGTGATCAATTTCGTGCACTGTCTGTTTAGCCAGTAGCAGTTCAGGAAATCAAGAATGATCTGAAACAGGAGGTGACACGTACAAGGTTACATTAGAATGGTGACTACACATTTTTAACTCCATATTAGTGAGAAGAGATCACAGTGAGTGTGTATAGGCTGAACATGGCAGGGAAGACCTTCAAAGCCGTGAGTTGAACTGTTTGTTAAATGTTATCTTTGCCTTGCCCGCTAGGCTAGCTAGCAGCATATAGCCACAGCAAATTCAAATATGCGTATCCGTACAATCAAAATCGACACCTGACATTTGAACAGTTTATGCATGTATGGCTTAAATGTAATAAAAGTAATAACTAGATGTATGTGTGCGCGCTTTGTATGTTAATAATGTTGCATAGTATATTGCTACATTTTTATTTACAGATCACACTAGCAAGACTTCTCATTCCATGAAATACTCTCTGACTCCCAGGATATGCGCTTTGGCAATGAGCGTGGACACACAACATTAAAGTCCCCTGATGCAATGTATAACTTTCATACTAAAATCAGAGATCGATGTACAATCTCGCTAAAAGACATCAAGAGATCGTGTGGTGTGCCCTATTTTTGAGATAGTGGCTTACCCTCCATTATTTAAGTTGTCACGTGTTTTATTCAATGCCATGGAAAACGTGTGTGTTTGTGCAGGGCTGGCCCGCTCTTTAGGCATTGATGAGGGCAGCATTTTCTGAGCTACACTGACCAAGACATAAAACCTCACATAATTCTGCCCCAAAACAATGTCAATTTTTCTCAAGCAGTGGCATATGAGTTTTTTAGGTGAGCGCTAATGCCGCCCTGTGATAAGAAGTGCCCACTTTGTCAAAGTCAGGGATGCAAAATATTTATCTTGTCCATTCCCAGCGTGCCTCTCCAGGGTGCTGTTGGAGAGAAGCAGCGCTCCACCAACATTCCTTAAAAATATATATCTAACATAAATCATGTAGCAGATATAGCATATGGTAGAAAGAGTATGTGGCCTTTAATGAAGCCTACAGGGTGCAGGAAAAAAATTATGACTAAGTAATGACACTTTTTACATCATGCAGGTTTCCCTGATCAAATAGCCTAACCTAAATGGCGCCCAATCAAATAAGAAATGCGCGGACATGTTAACATAACCTAAAAACAGGACAGGTCAAAGTAAAATGGACAATATGGAATGGACAATCAGGCTACTCACAACTGCTGTCCAGGAGTTTCATCCCGTGGGCTAAATGGTCATGATCAGTGGTTTCAAGTTTGTATCTGTACATTTTTTACAAGCTGATCATAGCGAAAAAGCGGTGCGGCGGCAATTCTTTTGTCTCACCCTAGGGCGGCAGAACAGCCAGGACCGGCCCTAGTGTATGTGGTCAGGGCCCTGACATAGAAAGGCTCTATCTGTAAATCTATTAGTCTGGAAACAGTTTGTCCTGTGATAGACAGCTAAGGAAAACAACAGCGTGTTCTGGCCTAGGGAGAGTGGCCTTGATGCAGTCCCCTCCACCAGTCTCAATGTTGTTGTTTGTTTGTTTTTCTCTAGTTTTCTAGGGATGAAGGTCTTTCCCAGCAAGTCTACTGTAACTGGCAAAAACAGTGGATTAGTTTGAAGTTGATGCTTCAAAGTGACACTGATTGTGGTTGGTGTTTTTGTCATTCTGTAGTTAAGGTTGTGTCGGCGTCATTTGGCCCAGCTGGGAAGATGTCCCCATCCACAGCTGCAACTGTACAGATCCTTCAGCTCACCAAGGTACTATACTAACTACACAAGTACGCCTTGTCTGAGCCAGAATGGTCCATCTCCTGTTTCTATTGTGTGAGTCAGCTTGATGTACAAGTACACCTCCTGGACAGGACACTGAACTATACATGCTGTTACTTAAACACTGTAAACTTCCAGAAAGCAACTGCAAGATGGGAGAAGACATGGGCATTTCAGCAACACAGTGTGTGTACTGTGTACATTTCTTTCCGTCAGGCCAAGGAAGAGTCAAGGGTTGTTCAGGAAGATGTTTCTGGGCTTGGTGGTGGGTGTTCCCGCGGTGGTGGGGGTCCAGTACGCCTTTGCGGAACCTCGAGAGAGACGGAAGATGAAGATCTTGGTGAAGGGAGTCGGTCGCTTCTGTAGGTTGGTCCCATCATCACAATAATAATATCACCTTCCTTTTTGCATGTGATCAAATGTTTTGAATAATTTCCTTTGGAGTTACACTCAAACCATGTCTCTCTCTGTCCCTACAGGTCTATATATGTAGGACTCTATATCTCAGTAGATTATTGGTGGACCTCCAATGTGACATTATGTGGCATGGACGAGGTAAGTTTGACAGAAATATTGGGTGCGTTCCTCTGCCCAGGCATTGCTGAAGCATTCCAGATATTACAACGCCTGGATAGGTATTTTACGTATCAGCTAACCACATGTTATAGCAATCTGGTGCCCGACGGCACAGTCGATGACGTGGCACGCAACCATTGGTTGACGCATGCATAGTCTGAGCAGGGGAACGCGACCATTATGAATTGTGACAGGCCTAATTGTCTGTCCGTGTATGTCTGCTAAACAATGGCGTGAGTCGGAAACCATCTCAGTAGTTCAGTCAGAACAATCACATCATCTTCCCCTCCCGGTTTTGCCAGAGCAGCCCATCGTTTGTGGCAGGGATGTCGTTGTGCCACCAGAGGGCAGCAGACGGCATGGTGGCGGGAGCGGTGCAGAACGGGGGGATATATGTTAAACTGGGACAGGGCCTGTGTGCGTTCAATCACCTGCTGCCTCCTGAGTACATCAAGACACTGCAGGTCCTGGAGGATAAGGCTCTCAACAGGAGATACAAGGAGGTGAGACCTGCAGTACTTTGTCTTGTCAAACATTGAAGAACAGTTAATGAAGAAATAAGATACAAGAGGCTGTAGTGAAAGTGATAAAAGAGCCATTCTTGTAGTTTTGTCACAGCTTTGAATGCCTCTTCACCATTCATAATGTGAGGCTAGAACTAGCCATTTTATAATGAAAAGCGTTAAGGAACATTCTTACATTAAATGATCTGTCACGTTCTACCAGGTTGATGCTCTGTTCATAGAGGACTTCAACACGACTCCAGACAAGATGTTTAAGAAGTTTGACTATGAGCCCATCGCAGCAGCCAGTCTGGCCCAGGTCCACAAGGCAGAGCTGCAGGATGGGACTCCTGTTGCGGTCAAAGTGAGTTCAGGTTAACTGTACAACACATTCAGCCACAGAATTAATAGTATACTGTGTATGATTTACACTCTTAAATAGGGGTCACCACGACTGGTTAAACCAAACTGTACACTTTGGTTAAACCAGGCCAGGTGTAGCTCTCCTGATTCTGAATAATAACCACTCTCTCTTCCCCAGGTGCAGTACATAGACATCCGGGATCGGTTCAATGGTGACATCAGGACTCTGGAGATCCTTCTGGATGTTATAAAGTTCATGCACCCCAGCTTCGGCTTCAGATGGGTCCTCAAGGTAAGGGCTCAAATTTGGTAAGAAACTGTCTTACTTTTATGGGACATTCTCATCAGATAATACCCCGCAGAGCATGATTAGATACAGCCCTAGACATTGTCCCCTAAACTAACCTAATGTTGGCATTCTCTGATTTTAGGACTTGAAGGGGACATTGGCTCAGGAGCTGGACTTTGAAAATGAGGCCAGGAACTCTGAGAGATGTGCAGAGGAACTGAAACACTTCAAATTTGTTGTCGTGCCAAAAGTGTACTGGGACCAAACCAGCAAGGTGAGAGACTGCTGAAAATCATAATGGCTGCATTCAAACATGCAGCCCAATTTCCATATCTTTTGACCAATCACATCAGATCTTTTTCATCAGATCTTTTTCTGAGCTGATCTGATCGGTCAAAACACTAATTAGTGAAAAAAATATCCGTATTGAGCTGCCTGTCTAAACGCATCCTTTGAAACCTTTTTGACCACTTTTGTATTATTGTACTGTAATAAACAAACCATTTTCCTTTAGAGAGTGTTGACTGCAGAGTTCTGTGAAGGCTGCAAAATCAACAATTTGGAAGAAATCAAAAGACAAGGACTTAGCTTGAGAGATGTAAGTGTCTATCGTGACACAATAGAATAACCTTTGTCTATGATCATTAGTACTCAGATAAATGTGTAAACAGTTTTCCCTGGCTTTTCAGACTGCTGACAAGCTGATCCGTACGTTTGCAGAGCAGATATTTTACACTGGCTTCATCCACGCTGACCCTCACCCTGGCAACGGTAGATCAGGGGGCATGTTTACAGTTTCTACTGAACTGTTAAGATGCTCATTTATTGATTTGTGTAACTTGTACCAGGCCAGTTTACAAGAGGTTTTTCAGAGAACTTTTTAAATAGGTCAAGTTGATAACAACAAATAACTGTACAGTACAACAATATTTGCTTAAAATGACTTGGTGACCTTGAATGCATGTTATCTGTACCATGTCACAGTGCTTGTGAGAAGAGGTCCAGACAAGAAGGCAGAGCTAGTACTGTTGGATCACGGCCTGTATGAATACCTCAGTGAAATGTAAGGTTCATAAGATAATATGCCATTTAGCAGACACTTTTATCCAAAGCAACTCACAGTAGTGTGTGGATACATTTTACATCCTACAACCTTGCAATGTAGTCCTGTATATATTTAATGATACAACTTTTACTATCAGCTCTAACCCTTGACCTTTGGCCCTGTAGTGACAGGGTAGCGCTGTGTAAACTGTGGAGGTCCATAGTCCTGAGAGATGACGCTGCCATGAAGAGGTACTCCAACATCTTGGGGGTCAAAGGTGCGAGGACAACTGTCATTTAAGCTCAAACTGTTTCATTAATTTAAGCAGAATTCACATGCCTTGAGCAAATCCAGTCTCACAACAGACTAATAAAAACCTGCTTACAATATCCTGATTCCTATCAGACTACTTCATCTTCTCTGAGATGCTGCTACAACGGCCAATCAACATGCGGAAGGTGGGCCTGTCCAACATCCTGAGTCGTGAAGAGACATCCTATATGAGGGACATGGCTGTCAATCACTTTGACAACATCATGGCCGTGCTCAAGTCCATGCCACGCCCCATGCTGCTGGTGTTCAGGAACATCAACACGGTCCGCAGCATTAACATCACACTGGGAGCTCCGGTAGACCGATACTGTGTCATGGCCAAGAGGTTAGTATAGTATCAGCAGCAACATCAGGCTGGGGGCTCCGGTGGACAGATACTGTGTGATGGCTAAGAGGTGAACAGACGACTGTTTCACATAGCAGCAGTTGTAGGTGCTTACTAACCGGTTGTCCTGTCTCCAGCGCTGTGCAATGCTGGGGGCGGCTCCAGGCAGAGAGGCCGGGAGTTCTTCCCAGGTTCAGGGTGTTGCGATGGGTGCGGACCACCTGGGAGAGCCTTAAGTTCGAGTGTGCCCTGAGGTAACGAATTATCCTCAACACTATACACTCAGTAACCACGTTTTTATGCAAGTAAAGTCATACAGTATACAAAAAATAAATCACGACAGCTGTGATTGAAATGGGACGTTTTGGTACAATTGTATAAATGGCGACAGAATTTGTTCGTTCGACGTGGTGGGATCTTTGTCTATAAAATTAACATGAGAAATGGCAGTGGAAACACCTTTGTGAAAATACTGAACCATCATATCGAAGTAAACTTGGAGTCACGCGATGATATTGTGTGTGTGCTCTACCCACTACGACTCGGGAAAGCATGCAGTTTATTAGGCTACAGATGGGAAAAAATATTAACTTCACAGGGTGGTGAAAGTGCACGGTGATCTTGATGCTCCTTTCCAATGAATATCAAGGGTCCTTTTCTGGTGACATAATCGATGCTTGACTGCCATTTGACAAATATTCTCGCACTTATCCATAAATCTCATGTAGACTAGCCTAACCGCACTGTATCTGCAAGCTGTTGGCTAGAGCGCAAGTGTCAAGACCAGTTTAGGCGCATTTGCTATTTAACAAGTTTGTGACAACTGTCAGAGTTGAATGCGATGGAAACACATTGAACTTCAGACTTTTTATTCGGTACATGAAAACTTAAGTGAAAAAGTACATTATGTGTACTACATCACATACTGATTTTTATCTGCAACAAGTCAGTTTGGAAACACACCACTGGTAGGAAAATGCATATTTTCTTTATGCAGATTATAGAATATTTGCACAAAAATCAGTTTATTAGGTACACCCATCTAGGACCGGGTCTGACCCACTCCCCCTTTACCTCCAGATCACCCTGTATTCTTCGGGACATGGAAACGTTGCGTAATTGGTATCAAGGGACCTAACGTGTGCCAGGAAACATCCCCTACACCACCGCCAACAGCCTGTACCGTTGACACCAGGCACGATGTGGCCATTGACTCATGCTGCTTACCCCAAATCCTGACTGCCATCAGCATAACGTAACAGGGATTCGTCAGACCAGGCAATTGTCCAGTGTTGGTGATTGCGTGTTTTTAGCTGATATGAGTCAAACCTGGTGTGGTAGTCTGCTGCAATGGACCAATGATCTGTGTGTTCCGAGATGCCATTCTGCACACCACTGTTGTACTGCGACATTATTTCCCAATTTGTGGCCCGCCTGTTGGAAACTGTTGTGCGTGCAAAGCACAGGAGGCCAGCCTTTTCAGTGATACTGGAACTAACAATCAAACCCACGGTCACTCGTTTTGCCCATTCTAAATGTTCAATGAACAGTAACTGGATGCCAGTCTGCCTGCATTATATACCAAGCCACGTGACTCACTGTCTGTAGGAACAAACCATTTCTGTGAATGGGGTGGTGTACCTCAAACTGGCCACAGTGTATAGCAGTAGACCCTGCTGGGTAGGTCTTCAGACGTTCCCCAAAATACATACAATTAGCATTTTTAGTGACAAAGATTTGCCTAAAACATTAACTTCAATCATTGTATCTTCCCAGGTCAGAGATGGCGATGATGAGTCTGACACGATCCCTGCTGTCTCTGTTGTCTTACTTTAACCTCATATCGCTGGACGAGGAAGTTTACCAATACCTGAAGTAGAGGCTGACACCCTGACACACCATACCTCAGCTGCATACCTGATACTAGTGACTCCTGTTTAAAGCTCAAGAAATGCAACCCGTTTGACAGGAGGATAACTACTGAATAAGTATTTTAATATCTGGATAGATGGGCTGCCACAATAGTGCTATGCATTTCCCACATCTACAGTACATACCAAATCTGCTTTGGCAGAATGAAGATTTATGTACAATTGTCTTAATCAGTCAGAGGACAAAAAGCACCAAATACAGCTCCAAGCCAAGGATGTGACTCACCAGCAGGTGAAATAAAAATTGAGGAGCACGGTCTCCGTGCTGCCAAGGAATATGTCAACTGGCACAACATTAACTATTTTATTAAACACAGCCATTTATTTGGGGGGTTTTATTTGACGCCAGTATGTGGAGTTAAACAGCCCGAAAGTGATTCATTTTAGTCAAGATCTTTACGAATGAGATTCAAATCAGATTGCTCCATCATTGACTGATTGTCTGCCTTTTCAGATTGATATTTAGAATTATTAATAGAACATTCAGGCTTTTTAACCTTATGTTGCATTACCTGGATCATAGCGCTTATAGATTCTGAGATTACTTTTACTGCAGGTATGTAGTTTAGTCAAGTCATTTAACAAGTAAAATGTTCATCAATTTTAGGAAATATTGGGAGCATAACTTAATCTAATGTATAAAATGCTACAAAAGCTAACGCTGCTGAAGAAATTACTTTCATAAATCATTTTTAAAGACTTTGTCAACTAAATAAAGTGCCCTACCACTCCTTGGAATTGTTTGCCGCTTGTGTAAATAATAATGCATTGATGTCCATGACAGATTTGTGAGTTACATGTGTGTATCTAAAATTATTGAGCCTAAAAGACCAAGATGGTTAACGTTTTATAAAAAGACATACATTCTGAACACTGGATTGTATCAATTTTGTAGAAAAAATATTTTAAGAAACATGATTACAAGCTCCTTATGACTGAACAAAATTGATTAAACACAACTCACATTTCCATACAGAAAATAGATACAAAAAGCCTCTTCATTTCATATAAAATAGAAATGGGGGAAGATCCTGGGTCTCGCGCATGCTGAGGGGGTCTGATCAAGGATGCTGCTCTCAGAAATGAGCAGTCACCCTGTCAACTTCAAGAAGATCATCCAAGACCTAAAATGGACAGAGGGATACTTGATTCAAATATCTCATAACTAATAGTTATTTGCGCCAAGTTGATTTGGACCACATAATTAAGATGGGGACTATAGATTGGATTTAGCTACATTATTAAGATGCATCTGCCTTGGCTTGCGTAGCTAGTTTTGTCGAGAGAACTAGGCCAAAGAAGGGACTTAATACTCACTATATCAGAGGTGGTGCCGATCTTCTTGGCCAGCTCACTGCGCTCCATGGTGCTGAGGTACAGGTACTTGTTGAGCAGCTCTCCATCCAGAATGTTCCGCACCGCGTTCTGGAGCTGCCGCCGGTCAGCATGCAACATCCTGGTGGAACGAGATCCAAAAACATAGCATTAGTCTTTACCCAAAGTGTCACATTTCTAAAAAGCCACTTTGTTGCATCAGAAAGCCTGAAAAGTATTTAAGTGTAGCCAACTTTAAATTTATGGGAAAAATACTGATAACAAACCACAAAAGTTATCAGTGACCTTGTGTGGGGAGTTACCTGAATGCCTTGGGGTTTAATCCTGCATGGTGTGGCAGCATGGTGGTAAGAGCGTTTTGCAACATCAGCAATCTGCGGTAGGTCTTCTCCTGCATGGGCAGCAGCAGCCCGATGCCTCCATCCAGAGTTGCTGTGGGGAGAGAGGGAAGAGGAGTTACTGCTAAATCGCCTGTAAATCCTATTTGTAGCTATTAACTATAACATGTTGATCATTCTGGGCGCAACATACCAAGAGGAGCATTTGATCAGACATATTGAAAGAAGATTCATCAGACAACTCTTTCTTCACAACTACTCCTACCCTGTATCTGTCAATACAAAGTCAAAGTTGTGTCGTACCAAACCATGTGATGTGTTTGTTGTCCCAGGCCAGGGTCTTCTTGGTGGCTGTGTCCAGTGCCCCTCGACAGGGCATCCTCCAGAAGGCGTTGACATGAGCTCCCACGTTGAAGTCTGCCCTCCTCAGGAGACGCATGCCTCCGAAACTCTCCTTAGCTACAGCAGGACACAAAGTACCAGATCAGTGATCATGACACAATACTTATTTGATATTCAGATGTTTGTGGGATAAGTATCACAACATTTGTGGTTAACCTGAGTATTCAATATTCTTCATGCTTGTAGGAGAAGTATTACCACGTTTACGTTATAACTCACCTTCAGGCAGATACATGTACACCGACAGATTCTGGTCTCGGTCTGACACTAAAACGTAGAGAAAACAGAAGGTTTACTTCGAGGTCTAGGCATACATAGGCTCTATCCAAAGAGTTAGCCTGGTAGAGTTCTCCTGATTAGCTACCAAAGTTATATAACCTTACCCAGGAATCCCAGCTGGTTGTTATCCACCATAAACTCTACGCTGTAAACCTCCAGAGGCTTGGCATCCTAGGGAACCAAACACCGAAACAAAACCATTAAGACAGGGCTCCCCAATTTCATTCAGCCGCGGGCTGATTTTTCCTTGAGCGGATGGTCGGGGGTCCGGAACATAGTTATAAATAAGTTGTACACTGCAAATTGACCGCAAGAATCCCAAACAGATATAGTATTTGACAAAATCAGAATAATTTCAAACCTTGATTACATTGGGATACATTTGGATAAAATAAATAAAATAGCTTAGAGCTCATTTCCTGGTGATTTTAGTCTTACGTCCAAGAAAAAAAAAAAAAAAATTATATATATATATATATATACACACACACACTGAACAAAAATATAAACGCAACATGTAAAGTGTTGGTCCCATTTTTCATGAGCTGAAATAAAAGATCGCAGAAATGTTCCATACGCACAAAAAGCTTATTTCTCTCAAATTGTGTGCATAAATGTCTTTACGTCCCTGTTAGTGAGCATTTCAACTTTGCCAAGATAATCCATCCACCTGACAGGTGTGGCATAACAAGAAGCTGATTAAACAGCATGATCTTTGTGCTGGGGACAATAAAAGGCCACTCAAAAATGTGCAGTTTTGTCACACAACGGCACAGATGTCTCAACTTGAGGGAGCGTCCACCAGAGCTGTTGCCAGAGAATTGAATGTTCATTTCTCTACCATAAGCTGCCTCCAATGTCATTTTAGAGAATTTGGCAGTACGTCCAACCGGCCTCACAACCGCAGACCATATGTAACCACACCAGCACATGACCTCCACATCCGGCTTCTTCACCGGCGGGATCGTCTGAGGAGGGGGGGGGTGCTGAGGAGTATTTCTGTCTTTAATAAAGCCCTTTTTGGGGGGAAAAACTCATGCTGATAGGCTGGGCCTGGCTCCCCAGTGGGTGGGCCTATGCCCTCCCAAACCCACCCATGGCTGCGCCTCTTTCTTGGGGGGGCGGGGTAAATATTGAAGAACCCTGCATTAAGAGAAGACACTCAAACACTGGCATGAGGAACGAACATGAACGACCCTGATCATTTAAATATCCCCTCCAGCACAGCACTGCCCTCTAGAAGATAAGCTCAACACACAAGAAACCCTGGGATCCCACAAGGGAACACAGGAAAGAACAGATGGTGCTTTCTTTCATTCATGAACAGAAACACTCATCTGGGATGTACAGTTAAATCCATAAACAACAAACTAACATGGAACAAAACCCCTCAGAGAATGACAATCAGAAGAGACTAAATCCCGTGTTACTTGAACACAGTACTTTGAAGTTGATGGTTTGACATCTCATTTTACATTTACATTACATTTTAGTCATTTAGCAGACGCTCTTATACAAGAGCGACTTACAGTTAGTGAGTGCATAATTTTTTTTCTTCATACTGGTCCCCCGTGGGAAACGAACCCACAACCCTGGCGTTGCAAACGCCATGCTCTACCAACTGAGCTACACAGGACTACTTTCATGTTGTGAGATAGCAAAATATTACTTCCACAATCAAGACAGGATAACCAAATTGCTTCAGATGATAATAAACCATGTTTCTTGTAGTTACTTTCTTCTCAACTTGTTTATATTACTTTCTAGTACGTCAAGGTAGCTTACAGAATAGCTATAGCTAACTAGCCAGCTAGCTTTGTAGCAATGGATTGCGCACCTTCCATTGTTTAGCCTAGTGTTACTACTAAAGTAGTCCTGTAGCCTTGCTGTCTTACCCTGCTAATTAGCGACAGCGTCTTACTCTCAGGCTGGTATCTGAGCAGAGAGATGCTCTTCATGACGTCAGCTGCCAGGATAAAGTTCTTGATGCTAAACATCTGGTGGATGTAAAGCTGGGTGTCGATGAAGGCCATGCCTGTCAGGTCGTTGTCTTTCAGACTCCACAGAAAGATCTAGACAGAGAGCAGAATAGACAGATGCAGTAAGCACAACCAGGACTTTGTCTCAGGGTTACAGGAGAGATGGTTGATGTACCGTACTTGTGCTCCTTAAAAGGGATTTCTGAACAGTTCTTATAATAATGGCTAATTCAATAATATCCTAAATACATTCAACTGCAACATGTTGGCCACACAATGAAAACAATGTAAATCGGAACAGAATTATTTTGAGAGGTGGGTGGGAAATACATATAGATTGGGACATCTATAGTGTATAGTCAGAGGTGGGTCTGTCACCTTCTGTCCGATGGCAGAGACCAGGTATCCGCTGCAGTGACACAGAGCTGTGACTGGTCCCTTCTGCTCCTTCTCATACAGAACCTTGAATTTGTTCTTCGTCAGGGGCTGACCGGGTTCTGGGACCACCTCAATCACATCCAGGATCAGGATCTGGACACAACAGTAGAGAGAGAAATAAGTCCAGACTAAATCAACATCATGATTTCAAATGGCATAATCTATCTGTCGGACTCCATAATAGGTCCTGAGTTTCGTGACCACCTGACCCGACTAGGAAAAACTCTGGACCCTACTTTAGACTATAACTTAGAGGACATACCTTGGGCCCAAATGTAGTCCTGGCTCTAGTCAGTGGTCAGAGTAGTGTTGGTGACTCACCCGGCCCCTACAGGTGACCTCCTCCCCCTGCATGAGACAAGTACCGGCAGCTATGTATCCCTTCAGCCCAGACACGGTCTCCTGACTCCTCAACGCCACCGTCTTCATACAGGTCACATGCTCCCACTCCTCCAGGTCAATCCTGTTTAATAGCAGGGAGGTCAGACATCCACTACTACGCCCTAGATGCTTAAATATAGATATCTATATCAATCTTTAGAAATATGCATCAGATCTATAATGAATATGCCTCATGTTCGAGGCTATGCTCCAGATAGCTGCAGTAGCTACAGTTGTTACCGTGTGTTAGGGATGGCCTCCCAGCTGACAGGAGATATGAGCTGAATGGAGAAATTCTCCTGCTGAGGTGGGATGTAGCGCTCGTCTGAGGAGAACACAACGCCAAGGAATTTTAATGGTGGAAGAATGAATGAAGAAACAAAGATATAAACCAATGAGAAAGTGAAATGCACGTCATGGAGACAGACTAATGCATATACTAGTCCCACCTCTGTCTATGGTCTCAAACTCCTTCTCCTCTCCGGTCATTCTGGGGATGCGAGTGCAGGGGTCCTTCACGCTGGTGCACACTGCATACACCTTGGACTCTACATGGTAGGACACATAGTGAACGGTGCATCTCAGAGGAATCTTCCTGACTGGCCAGGGGGCGTCATACGACAGGTACGTGGGTAGAACACTGATCCTCAGCTCGCCCTGCTTGTTGAAGTAGAGGAAGCCTTTGGGGCAGTTGATGTTGTGGAAGGGGGAGAATGACTCGATTGGTCCGTCGATCGTCATAGGGTGGAGCCTCATCGCCCCCCGTGATGTCACCAGCATCCAGTGAGGGGAGGGGCCACAGATGAACACCTGACACACAAACAAGAAAACAACACATGAACACACAGAACTACAGTATATATATATATAAAGTCTGTGTACACAGCAGTACCTCTCCTTCAAGATGTATCTTGCAGGGAACCTGAGTATCCAAAAGTGTACCCCTCGTTACCCATGATGTATATATAGTCTTGTAAGTAGAGAACCTCTTACCCCAGAGTAGCCAGAGATATCCTCAAAGTATCTGAACCTGGCCACGCGACCTTTGACCACTGTTGGCCCCTCCTCGCTGAGACCAGCCTGACCCTCAGCCTTCTTATCTTTCTTCACCTTCGACTTCTTCTCCCGGAAGTTGATGTTGTGGGGCATCTGAGACGAGACAGGAGAACAGTTGGTAGACATAATAATCAGTGTTGAATGGACATTTTGGGACTGGTTTCCCAGACACAGATTAAGCAGTCCTAAAAGTTGTTGACTTTTCTTGTCCAATGACCTTGCTCTTCTTACCTTCTTGAAGCGGACCTTCAGGTTGCTCTGAGCCTGCTGCTGGTCGTATGGGAACGCTTCATAGATCAGAAGCTCCTGTTCAACATGGACCTGGGAAAGAAACGGAACATACAGCCTCATATGTCTAAAGCAATTTCCCAAATTGGAATCAATTAAGTACTACTGCTACATATTCTGGTGTTCAGTCACTCTACTTTAATACCCGTACTGAAAACTCACCAGCAGGTAGGGTCTGCAGTGGTTGTTGCCGAGCGACACCAGGACCACCTCTTTGACCAATGGGATCTCTCCCTGTCGTGTCACTTCCTCCTTTTTCCCCTCCCCCTGGGCTGCTGATTGGCCGGCGGAGCTGTCAACCAACACTCTCTGGCCAACAGGGAAGTTCTTGACCAGGAACACCAGTCTCCAGTCAGGTAGCTGGTAGATCTAGAGAACAGGAAGAAGTTGTTTTACTATAGCTCTATCCTGTAGAAAAAGTTCACCTGTCGGTTGTGGTGTCACTCATTGCTACGGCCACAGTTCCTGTGGATTTCTGAGCATAAGACTAAAGTTCCCAGGCTTTTATCCAACCTCTAAATAACTAGTATAGTATAGTATAAATGTTGGCATTAAACAGTATTAGAATTTTAACAGCTGTGTAAAGTATGTAAACTAAATGATTACAATACAATGTGTATTGATACAGCTATTGTTAATATTATGCTGATAAACTAGCGACATTGATCCTGACCTCCATGACGCCGTTCTCGCGGACCATCATGCACCAGTGTGTGGGTTCAGCTCGTCCCGACGTCCCCTCGGACCCCCCACCCAGGGCCCCAGAGGAGGACAGGCGGTACCCGGGGTGGGACTCGTCTTTGGTGGGGGTGATGCCTGCTGGGTTACAGTCTCCATACAACATCTCCTCCTCATCATCCACTGTGTTACTAAAGAGGAGACATGGGAGAGAGGTTTACTGCTAAACTCTGAGGTGAGACAGTGCTTCCACTGACTAAGAGACGAGATGCAGCCACCCCCCAAAAAAAGTGTCCATAGGGAAAGTTGGTATAGCTCTCATTCTTCAGTTCAAAACGATATACTTTATTCAAAAACATCCTACCTGAGGTCCTATATGATTGGCTCTTACCTGAGGTCCTGTATAATGGTCTCGGTCTCTGATTGGCTCTTGAACATGGTGTCTTGATCCTCGGTGTGACAGGTCTGCTTGTTCTCTGTGGTGAACATCCCGCTGACATCACGGAACGCACACAGCGTGATCACACAGGGTTGCTGTACGGGCGGGGAGAGAGAGAGAGATTGTCTGTCACCGGTCTGAGAATCATATTTTTTCACTAATTCATCCATCGGGTTGTGTTGTAATACTGCCTGACTTAGTTGTACAGTGTAGGATATGACCGTGACTCACAGCAGCTATATGTGGTTTCTGCAGGGCCAGGCTGTAGTGTAATGTGTTGTGTTACGTAGTGTTGTACCGTGACTCACAGAAGCTATATGGGGTTTCTGCAGGGCCAAGCGGTGGGTCTTGCCCATGTAGGAGTCGGTCTTCAGGACGAACATGGTGACCACTCCGTCGGCCGTCATGATCACCACATAGGGGTCCGCTACGGAGCACTGCACTATGGGAGAACCCAGGTCCACCGGGATGAAGTGCAGCTGGGTCACTGGAAGGAACGTCAATCAATGAAATGCAATTCTAAAGCGCTTTTTACATTGACAGTTGTCACAAAGTGCTTGACAGTCAGTTAAAGAGAGGATGAGTTAGAGGTAGGGACACAGAGTATCATGGATTATTTTCTTCTTTTATTGAAAGACGGACAGATCTCTCTACCTCCTTCCAGTAGCCGTATACCCATGGGGGAGACCTGGATGATGTATTTGTTGTCTCCGATGTTCCCAGCGAACACAGTGGGTCCCTGGGTGGCGAAACCACTGGTGTCCAGCTCCATGATCTCCTGACCCGTCTGCAGGATCTAGAGAACCACACAGGAGGGGTTCCAGTTAACGTCAATAAACCTCAATCATTACCCTTAACTCAATCAACATTACAGGCTCAATCTAAACATGCTGGAGCACTGTAAGAGAGGAACAAGCTCCCTTTCAGACTGCTGTGTAGAGCAGAGTGTGTCTCGGGGTGCAGCGTGTGTACTGTACTGTGTAGAGATGCGGTGGGAGGTGTGGGTGTACCATGGTGGAGTCCTCTCTGCTGAGAATCAGGAAGCCATGTTTTTTCTTGTCGTCCTCCACTGGCGCAGGCTCCGTCTTCTCCTCCTCTTCCTCAGGGGTCTCACCCTCTCCCATCAGCTGCAGGAGGCTTGTCTTTCTCCTTGTCTTTCTCCTTGACCTCATTGGAGATGACAGTCCACAAGTCATGGCAACCTGGCAGCTCAAAGGTGGTGACCACCTGGGGGCGGATGCTTCTCTGGGAGGGGCCAGGACAAAAAACGATCATCAATGATCAATAACAGAACTATGACCCCTAGGAGTAAGTGACCACCTGGGGACGGATGCTCCTCTGGGATGGGAATGGGCCAGACAAAACAGTCATCAATAACTACAGAACAATGGCCAGAAGGAATAACTGAATCATCCACTCTCAAAGCTGACTCTGAAAATATTAGCTCTTCCCATTGTTTTCCGGCAGCTACGCCATGCTAATGCGCCACGTTGCCATGAACTATCAGTGCAGTAATCTATAACTCTTCACAATGCTCTTTACTTGAATGCATGTATAAGTGTGTCTGGGTGGTTTATAAGCTGCTCCATTGATCTCTGAGGCAGCAGCCCTGGTAAACCCAGAGTGGTTGTTCTCTGTAGCACCGTCACTGAACCTGAGGTAGATAGGCCTCGCCACCACAGGTCTTAGAACAGTGCAGCCACACGCATGCACTTGCACAGAAATACAAAAAGTAGAGTATTTACCTGAAGCACAGACAGACCCCCGTTCTTCCCAAAGCCAGAACACACCACTATCTCCAGGTCAGGCTCTGGGTTGGTCTGGAACTGTGGACACAGAAACACCAGACACAGGGCTTAGTGGGTCTTACTGTTTGCATAGCAAGTGCTTGAGAAAATACCTTGCTAGAGGTATTAGATATTGATCAGTGCTTTCAGAAATACAACACAGCCATGATGGACATCATGACCGGAAAGACTGGCGATCTGGAATGAAAGTTAAAGTGTTTTAGTACCTCTTCAGAGAGGAAGGCTGGCTCCCCCATGGATGCACCAGCACAAGGTCCGATGTTCAATATGCTGTCACACACCTGGAGCCAAACATACCAAAACCATATTGTAAAGTCTGCAATAACCAAGACTAGAGGAATATGAATAATGAAATGATAAAGCTTCAGCTGGGGGTAACAAGGGGTCCTACCTCAAAGGAGTAGGTGGCCAACTGAGTGCCAGACGCCGCCTCGCTCCCGTACACCTCAATTTCATCTACCTCATCAGGCAGTTGGTTCTTACCAGCTGGACAGAGGACATGGGAGGAAACACGTAATTTATAAATATAAAAACATTATTATAGGTGACCTTATCACCTCAGTTAGTTCCATACATATGTAAAGAAGGGTAATATGCAACACACAACCAAGACATTGTAATACACCAACTGTCCAAATACCTGTCAAGTTGGTAGAGGAATCACCCCTCTTCTTTTTACTCGGAGGTTCCTCCTGGAATTATTATCAAGTTCATTATGCAATTTATATCAGAATACATACATAGGAATGTGTATCAGCAATTCATTTAGCATTTTTATTTACAAAATGGACAATGGGTGGCTGGTAGACTAGCGGTAAGAGCGTTGGGCCAGCAACCGAAAGGATGCTGGTTTGAATACCCGAGCCGACAAGGTGAAAAATCTGCCGATGTGCCCTTGAGCAAGGCACTTAACCCTAATTTGGTCCAGGGGGGCCGTACTTCTATGGCTGACCCTGGAAAACAACACATTTCACTGCACCTATCCGGTGTATGTGACAATAAAACATCACATATTAAGTGTCATATTTCCACAACTGATAGTCAAAGTATAGTCACAACAGCAGTTGAAGTGCTAAAAGGTGGTTTATAGGTGGAACACGAGCACAGAAGCTATTCAAGGACAACGACTGCTACTTTTTTTTTAAACCACAAAATGAATCATCCTCTTTTGGCGACGTCAACATCCATCCCCCAGCCCAGCTAAACCTGCCTTAGATAGCTCCTTTGTCCCACCCCCCATACACGCGGAGACCGACTCAATCGATGCCTCCAGTGATACTATCTCTTTCATCGTTACCCAACTCTTAGGTTTCCCGGAAACCTGCCCCTTTTTTTCTCTGTACCCAATGCACTAGAAGACCAGTACTTAAAGCCTTTAGCCGTATCCTTATTCTACTCCTCCTCTGTTCCTCTGGTGATGTAGAGGTTAACCCAGGCCCTGTAGCCCCCTAGTATCACTCCTACTCCCCAGGGGTTATCATTTGTTTACTTCTGTAATCGTAAAAGCCTTGGTTTCTTGCACGTTAACATCCGAAGCCTCCTCCCTAAGTTTGATGTATTCACTGCGTTAGCACACCCCGCCAGCACACTCCGCCAACCCTGATGTTCCAGCAGTGTCTGAATCCTGGCTTAGGATGCAACTACAACATTTTCCGTCTCGATAGAACTGCCAAAGGGGGTGGGGTTGCAATCTACTGTAGAGATAGCCTGCAGAGCTCTATCATACTATCCAGGTCTGTGCCCAAACAGTTTGAGCTTCTACTTCTAAAAATCCACCTTTCCAGAAATAAGTCTCTCACTATTGCCACTTGCTGCAGACCCCCCTCAGCCCCGAGCTGTGCCCTGGACACCATATGTGAACTGATTGCCCCCCCATCTATCCTCAGAGTTCGTACTGCTTGGTGACCTAAACTGGGATATGCTTAACACCCCGGCCAACCTACAATCTAAACTAGATGCCCTCAATCTCACACAAGTTATCAACGAACCTACCAGGTACAACCCTAAATCTGTAAACATGGGCACCCTCATAGATATCATCCTGACAAATTTACCCTCTAAATACACCTCCGCTGTCTTCAACCAGGATCTCAGCAATCACTGCCTTATTGCCTGCGTCCGTAATGGGTCCGCGATCAAACGACCACCCCTCATCACTGTCAAACGCTCCCTAAAACACTTCAGCGAGCAGGCCTTTCTAATTGACCTGGCCCGGGTATCCTGGATGGATATTGACCTCATTCCGCAGTAGAGGATGCCTGGTTGTTCTTTAAAAGTGCTTTCCTCTCAATCTTAAATAAGCATGCCCCATTCAAAAAAATTCAGAACTAAGAACAGATATAGCCCCTGGTTCTCCTCAGACTTGACTGCCCTTGACCAGCACAAAAACATCCTGTGGCGTACTGCATTAGCATCGAACAGCCCCCGCGATATGCAACTTTTTAGGGAAGTCAGGAACCAATATACACAATCAGTTAGGAAAGCAAAGACTAGCTTTTTCAAACAGAAATGTGCATCCTGTAGCACTAACTCCAAAAAGTTTTGGGACACTGTAAAGTCCATGGAAAATAAGAGCACCTCCTCCCAACTGCCCACTGCACTGAGGCTAGGAAACACTGTCACCACCGATAAATCTACAATAATCGAGAATTTCAACAAACTTTTTGCTACGGCTGGCCATGCTTTCCACCTGGCTACCACTACCCCGGCCACCAACTCTGCACCCTCCGCTGCAACTTGCCCATGCCCCCCCGCTTCTCCTTCACACAAATTCAGACAGCTGATGTTCTGAAAGAGCTGAAAAATCTGGACCCCTACAAATCAGCTGGGCTAGACAATCTGGGCCCTTTCTTTCTAAAATTAGCCGCCGAAATTGTCGCAACCCCTATTACTAGCCTGTTCAACCTCTCTTTCGTAACGTCTGAGATCCCCAGAGATTGGAAAGCTGCCGCGGTCATCCCCCTCTTCAAAAGGGGGTGACACTCTAGATCCAAACTGTTATAGACCTATATCCATCCTGCCCTGCCTTTCGAAAGTATTTGAAAGCCAAGTTAACAAACCTTCTCCGCTATGCAATCCGGTTTCCGAGCTGGTCATGGGTGCACCTCAGCCACGCTCAAGGTCCTAAACGATATTATAAACGCGATCGATAAAAGACAGTACTGCGCAGCCGTCTTCATCGACCTGGCCAAGGCTTTCGACTCTGTCAACCACCGCATTCTTATTGGCAGACTAAATAGCCTTGGTTTCTCTAATGACTGCCTCGCCTGGTTCACCAACTACTTCTCAGATAGAGTTCAATGTGTCAAATCGGAGGGCCTGTTGTCTGGACCTCTGGCCGTCTATGGGGGTGCCACAGGGTTCAATTCTCGGGCCGACTCTATTCTCTGTGTACAGTGGGGGAAAACAGTATTTAGTCAGCCACCAATTGTGCAAGTTCTCCCACTTAAAAAGATGAGAGGCCTGTAATTTTCATCATAGGTACATGTCAACTATGACAGACAAAATGAGGAAAAAAAATCCAGAAAATCACATTGTAGGATTTTTTATGAATGTATTTGCAAATTATGGTGGAAAATAACTATTTGGTCAATAACAAAAGTTTCTCAATACTTTGTTATATACCCATTGTTGGCAATGACACAGGTCAAACGTTTTCTGTAAGTCTTCACAAGGTTTTCACACACTGTTGCTGGTATTTTGGCCCATTCCTCCATGCAGATCTCCTCTAGAGCAGTGATGTTTTGGGGCTGTCGCTGGGCAACACGGACTTTCAACTCCCTCGAAAGATTTTCTATGGGGTTGAGATCTGGAGACTGGCTAGGCCACTCCAGGACCTTGAAATGCTTCTTACGAAGCCACTCCTTCGTTGCCCGGGCGGTGTGTTTGGGATCATTGTCATGCTGAAAGACCCAGCCACGTTTCATCTTCAATGCCCTTGCTGATGGAAGGAGGTTTTCACTCAAAATCTCACGATACATGGCCCCATTCATTCTTTCCTTTACACAGATCAGTCGTCCTGGTCCCTTTGCAGAAAAACAGCCCCAAAGCATGATGTTTCCACCCCCATGCTTCACAGTAGGTATGGTGTTCTTTGGATGCAACTCAGCATTCTTTGTTCTCCAAACACGACGAGTTGAGTTTTTACCAAAAAGTTCTATTTTGGTTTCATCTGACCATATGACATTCTCCCAATCCTCTTCTGGATCATCCAAATGCACTCTAGCAAACTTCAGACGGGCCTGGACATGTACTGGCTTAAGCAGGGGGACACGTCTGGCACTGCAGGATTTGAGTCCCTGGCGGCGTAGTGTGTTACTGATGGTAGGCTTTGTTACTTTGGTCCCAGCTCTCTGCAGGTCATTCACTAGGTCCCCCCGTGTGGTTCTGGGATTTTTGCTCACCGTTCTTGTGATCATTTTGACCCCACGGGGTGAGATCTTGCGTGGAGCCCCAGATCGAGGGAGATTATCAGTGGTCTTGTATGTCTTCCATTTCCTAATAATTGCTCCCACAGTTGATTTCTTCAAACCAAGCTGCTTACCTATTGCAGATTCAGTCTTCCCAGCCTGGTCCAGGTCTACAATTTTGTTTCTGGTGTCCTTTGACAGCTCTTTGGTCTTGGCCATAGTGGAGTTTGGAGTGTGACTGTTTGAGGTTGTGGACAGGTGTCTTTTATACTGATAAGTTCAAACAGGTGCCATTAATACAGGTAACGAGTGGAGGACAGAGGAGCCTCTTAAAGAAGAAGTTACAGGTCTGTGAGAGCCAGAAATCTTGCTTGTTTGTAGGTGACCAAATACTTATTTTCCACCATAATTTGCAAACAAATTCATTAAAAATCCTACAATGTGATTTTCTGGATTTTTTTCTCTCAATTTGTCTGTCATAGTTGACGTGTACCTATGATGAAAATTACAGGCCTCTCTCATCTTTTTAAGTGGGAGAACTTGCACAATTGGTGGCTGACTAAATACTTTTTTCCCCCCACTGTATATCAATGATGTCGCTCTTGCTGCTGGTGACGCTCGGATCCACCTCTATGCGGACGACACCATTTTGTATACATCTGGCCCTTCATTGGACACTGTTAACAAACCTCCAAACGAGCTTCAACGCCATACAACACTCCTTCCGTAGCCTCCAACTACTCTTAAACACTAGTAAAACTAAATGCATGCTCTTCAACCGAACGCTGCTTGCACCCGCCCACCCGACTAGAATCACTACTCTCGGCGGGTCTGACCTAGAGTATGTGGACAACTACAAATACCTAGGTGTCTGGTTAGACTGTAAACTCTCCTTCCAGACTCACATTAAGCATCTCCAATCAAAAGTTAGATCTAGAATCGGCTTCCTATTTCGCAACAAAGCCTCCTTCACTCATGCTGCCAAACATGCCCTCGTAAAACTGACTATCCTACCGATCCTTGACTTCGGCGATGTCATTTACAAAATAGCCTCCAACACTCTATTCAGCAAATTGGATGTAGTCTATCACAGTGTCATCCGTTTTGTCACCAAAGCCCCATATACTACCCACCATTGTGACCTGTACGCTCTCGTTGGTTGGCCCTCACTACATATTCGTCGCCAAACCCACTGGCTCCAGGTCATCTATAAATCACTGCTAGGAAAATCCCTGTCTTATCTTAGCTCACTGGTCACCATAGCAACACCCACCCGTAGTCTGCGCTCCAGCAGGTATATCTCACTGGTCATCCCCAAAGCCAACACCTCCTTTGGCCGCCATTCCTTCCAGTTCTCTGCTGCCAATGACTGGAACGAACTGCAAAAATCTTTGAAGCTGGAGACTTATCTCCCTCACTAACTTTAAGCGTCAGTTGTCAGAGCAGCTTACCGATCACTGCACCTGTACACAGCCTTTCTGAAATTAGCCCACCCAACTACCTCATCCCCATATTGTTATTTATTTTGTTAATTTGCACCCCAGTATCTCTATTTGCACATCTATCATTCCAGTGTTAATACGAAATTTTAACTATTTTGCACTATGGCCTATTTATTGCCTTACCTCCATAACTTACTACATTCGCACACACTGTATATATATTTTCTGTTGCATTTTTTACCCCATATGTTGTTTTGTTTACCCCATATGTAACTCTGTTGTTGTTTTTATCGCACTTTATCTTGGCCAGGTCGCAGTTGTAAATGAGAACTTGTTCTCAACTGGCTTACCTGGTTAAATAAAGGTGAAATAAAATATTTTTTTTTACAATTGGCTACATTTTGAAGCTCAATTTGATCACTTATGCCTCAACTAGAATCTATACATCTATGGAATCTTTACATTTTTGACAGAATCACTCACAGCAATATGCCACAGGGACCAGACGGAAGAGAATATCTACATATCAACTAAAATCCAAACCAACTCACCTGCTTCTCCTCATCGGTCTCCTCTTCCTTCTCTTTGTCCTCCTCCACTGTTGGTTTCTCTGGATTCTCCTGGTACTTCTCTGTGTATTTCAGCAAAAGGCTGTTTCCCAGCCGGGACCCCAGGAACAGATACCCAGGCTCCATGGTCATCATCTGGGGGGACGAGGCAGAGGGGTGAAGAGGAGGAGAAGACACAGGGGTGAAGAGGAGGAGCAGACACGGGGGTGAAGAGGAGGAGCAGAGACGGGGGTGAAGAGGAGGAGCAGAGACGGGGGTGAAGAGGAGGAGCAGAGACGGGGGTGAAGAGGAGGAGCAGAGACGGGGGTGAAGAGGAGGAGAAGAGACGGGGGTGAAGAGGAGGAGAAGAGACGGGGGTGAAGAGGAGGAGAAGAGACGGGGGTGAAGAGGAGGAGAAGAGACGGGGGTGAAGAGGAGGAGAAGAGACGGGGGTGAAGAGGAGGAGAAGAGACGGGGGTGAAGAGGAGGAGAAGAGACGGGGGTGAAGAGGAGGAGAAGAGACGGGGGTGAAGAGGAGGAGAAGAGACGGGGGTGAAGAGGAGGAGAAGAGACGGGGGTGAAGAGGAGGAGAAGAGACGGGGGTGAAGAGGAGGAGAAGAGACGGGGGTGAAGAGGAGGAGAAGAGACGGGGGTGAAGAGGAGGAGAAGAGACGGGGGTGAAGAGGAGGAGACGAGACGGGGGTGAAGAGGAGGAGACGAGACGGGGTTGAAGAGGAGGAGACGAGACGGGGGTGAGAGGAGGAGAAGAGACGGGGGTGAGAGGAGGAGAAGAGACAGGGGGTGAGAGGAGGAGCAGAGACAGGGGTTATAGGTGGGGAACCTCTATGCTTCCACAGCTCCTCCATGACCAGTTCTCTCTTTGCCAACGGCTGGCAGCAGACTGAGAATATCACTGCACTGCTCTCTTCAACACTAAGTGTGTGTGTCTGTGTGTGTATACCAGTCCTTCTATGCCAAAAACTCTCAATAATGCGCTCTCTTCCCGCTTTCTCTCCCCTCCCGCTGTACATAAGTTTGCGCATAATGCATTAAACTGTCAAGTAAGGGTTGCTGTCAGCACATATTATGTGTGTGTGTGTGTGTGTGTGTGTGTGTGTGTGTGTGTGTGTGTGTGTGTGTGTAATGCGTCTGGAACGGCATCTGTCCATAAGACTTTCCCCTGGAGGGCCAGAGGCCTGTGTCAGCACACTGTCCTCACAGTAAACTCATGCTGCCACACACACACACAGCTACTGTTTGCTACTTACACAGGTGGTGAGGACGCTGGCAGCAGCCTTGTCAAAGTGGAAGGCCCGGACACTTCTCATGCCATCAGTGATCAGGGTCAACACATAGCTGCAGAGAGGAGACAGGCACATAGTCAAGGCATGACTCTTACAAGGTCATGACTAAATACAATGCAGTTATTTTTACTATACCACACTGATTTGAGGGCACAGAACATAGCTTTAACAAGGTCTAATAAAGCATTTATGGAAAATAAATATAGCTAATAAATCCCATCGCAACTGTTCTATTCTTTACTCACATCTCTCCTCCTTTCAGAGAGATGACCATCTTATCAGAGCCGATGAAGGTGGACTGGGAACAATCTAGTGTGATCTTCACCTCCTCCTGTATACCTGAAACACCAACACACAGCCTTATTAGAAGACAAAGGCTCATACATGCTTACAACACGTTATAAAGCTTTATACCTGCAGGTATATTGCAGCTTAAGCACGACACCATCATTAAGTTTGCTGACGACACAACAGTGGTAGGCCTGATCACCGACAACGATGAGACAGCCTATAGGGAGGTCCGAGACCTGGCAGAAAAAGGAGGGCTGAACACGCCCCCATTCACATCGACGGGGCTGTAGTGGAGCGTGTCGAGAGCTTCAAGTTCCTTGGTGTCCACATCACCAACAAACTATCATGGTCCAAACACACAAAGACAGTCGTGAAGAGGGCAAGACAACGCATATTCCCCCTCAGGAGAATGAAAAGATTTGGCATGGTTCCCCAGATCCTCAAAAAGTTCTACAGCTGCACCATCAACAGCATCCTGACCGGTTGCATCACCGCCTGGTATGGCAACTGCTCCAAAAGGTCCAAAAGCCTCCTTAACAGCCTTTACCCCCAAGCCATAAGACTGCTGAACAATTAATAAAATGGCCACCCGGACTATTTACATTTGACCCCCCCCTTTTGTTTTTACACTGCTGCTACTCGCTGTTTATTATCTATGAATAGTCACTTTACCTCTACCTACATGTACATATTACCCCAATTACCTCGACTAACCTGTACCTCCGCAAATTGACTCGGTACTCCCCTGTATATAGCCTCGTTATTGTTATTTTACTGTGTTACTTTTTTACTTTAGTTTAGTCAATCTTTTCTTAACTCTTATTTTCTTAAAATGGCATTGTTGGTTAAGGGCTTGTAAGTAAGCATTTAACAGTAAGGTCTACACCTGTTGTATTCAGCGCATGTGACAAATAATATTTGATTTGACCAAATTACTTTCCTAGGCATGGTATACATTTCTTAGGAATATTAACTAGGCTGCTTTGCTTTCTATATGGAGTGAGCTTGAGAACAATGTGTACTATAGTCCTCAGTCAGTACTTACGCAGGGGGAAGGCGGTGGTCCCAGTGGTCTGTGTGTTGAGTGACACGCCATATGGAGGAACACTCTGGTTGAGGTATAACAGGGAGTTGACAGCAAACACCACCACACCACCTAGAAACACAACAGGAATAAATTCATATTTTGAGTCATGATATGATCTATAAACTGATCATACAAGTCTCCATCTGTAACGCTGAACATACAGTATGAACCCAGTAAGTGAGGGATTACCAATGGGCTTGGGCACAGCCATGACCTGTGTGCAGTCAAAAGGCAGGTTGCTGAGGGACCAGATGACAGGATGAACCTTCTGCATGATGTTGAGAGAGATGGCTACAATACTGCAGGTGTCCTGTCTCACTGCTACACGCCTGGAGGAGGAGGACATGGTCAGACTAGAGTTACACACCACAATATTACCAGTCATAAACAGGTCTGAACAAGACATGGCTAAGTTCCAACAAGCGGCTAAGTTCAATAGCCTTCTTCATGTTAACTCGGTCAGCAGACCTTTGTTTCGGGGTGGGAGGTCTCCTTAGACAGACAGGAGGAACAGAGAGGACAGGTGCTGTTGTGGTGTACTGACCCAGGCCACGTCTGGTTGGGCTCATACAGGATGAGCAATGTGGGCTCATAGTAACCGTGGAGGAACTTCATATCTACGATGTTCAGAAGCTTCTCATCCAGCTCACGGACATCTATGATATAGCTGGGAAGAAAGCTGGACTTTGGCCTGCATGGGTGGTAAAAGAAAAACACGAGGCAAGATGGCTGATAAGAAATTATCAAATCCAAAACATAAAAAAACTGTTATTACAACTCAAATGTTTAGTTTATTTGATAATAAAAGTTGATTTTATTTGATAATAACCTAAGTGCATTGCTATAGGTATCCTAAATATCACTACAAGATGCTATGGATTGTAGGACTCCCTGGGAAAAAAACTGTAGCAGATGTTACTCAGTGGACTATCCTAGATAAATGAATCAAACAATGAAATTCAATATATCTACATACCCTTCCACTACTCCCTCCTGTTCATCAGTAAGTGTGTCTTTTCTGAATGGCAGCACCACCAGCTGAGTTCCATACACCAGCATCACAGCACAGCGGTTCTCTGGGTCCACACGGACCATGGGGATGTGCAGGTTCTGGACAAACCCATCCTGAAGATACAACAATAATTTTTCATATATGCTCATTTTGGTAGTGATTTGCAGTGTATGTCTTTGAATGTTTTTCAAGCACAGTTAATTTCCTCTTACCCTCAGCTCTGGCTCCTCAAAGAAGTGAAGCGAGAGAGTCTTCAGATCATGTGTTCCTGGATCATACTCCACCACTGACAGCTGGAGTAAACAACCAGGACATTGTAAACAGCAGTCAGACATTTTATAGGGTAGACTGCTTGCACCTACTACGTACTGCTACTGACACATGATAAATGGATATTGAAAGAATAAAGTAGGCCAAAGTAACCTGGAATATGAAAGCTGTGAGTTTAGGATTAGTATAACAATCAATCAAGATGTCTCAGGTACCTTAGCATCTTTGAAGCTGAGCAGGAGAGCGTCTCTGTTGGCTCCTACTAGCTGAACAGAGGCCATGGACATGACGTTACCGAACAGGGAGAAACAGGCCACCTGCTCCAGCTTCTCCTTACGACTCTTGACACCTGCAGAGGACAAGGAAGAGATCAAGGAAGTGTCAAAGAAGAAATCAGGTGTCAGAGATGGTCTGTAATGTTGACACGTGCATGTCTAAGGAAGGCTGACAACATAATAATAGCATACAGTCAGTGGTTCACTAGTCTTTCTAGACAGACATGTTGGCTCCCACAATGTTACCAATGTTCCAGTATAGTGGAACTTAGCATAGTGCTGTTGCCCGGCCCCTAGGTCTCGGATTTCCACCTGAATAGCTCTTCTCTCATCAGAATGTTGCTAGAGTGCAAGGCAGTTTTGGACATACCTGTTGATTTGTCTGTCTTTGAAGCATTCTGAAATATGAAGAGAAAGATGTGAATGTAAGCTGGATTTCAAGAAGAAAAGTTGCCCACGACAGGTAGCTACAATCTTTATTTAAATTGCTCTCATTGTACTTTTTATCAGTGATCGAGGAATGAAAGATGAACATAGCTAAGAGTTACTTTACCTCCACATCGTGAATGATCCTGTAGACGTAAAGCTGAGATGTTCCAGCGACGACCAGGTTCTTCTCCTCGTTGGAGATGAAGTTACAGTAGACAGAGAACTCGATGGCGGTGGGGGAGTGAGCTTGGCGGTACACGGCATACATCCTGCAAGCCACCAGCACCTTAACGTTACAGCAGAGATCACACTGTTATTAGCTAACGTTCGATATTAATCTGGACAAGCATTATATTAGAAGACACGTCTATGGATATTGCACCAGTAACGTTACTACTTAGCTAGTTAGAATAAATAACTACGTTGATACTTTGTACACCGTGGATCAACATATTGGTGTCAGGCTTGAATACAACCCAGGCAGGGATGATTGTTAGCAAGCTAGTAGTACAGTGGTTTACGGGTCAATTATGATTTTAGTTGGCTCGCGTGTTTACTTGCTTCGTCCCGCAACGAGCCAAACAATGTATCGTTTTCGGGACAAAGCAAGTCTGCTACTTGCTGTTACTTTATTTGGGAGAATACTAGCTACAGTATATTTCCAATGAGTTAGGTATCTAGATAGCTACATATTTTAAAATAACGTAGCTTAGCTAGCTAGTTAGCATAGTAGTTTGTCTCACTTGCCAATGCTCCACTCCCGTCGGTTAGCTGGACAGCTTGCTAACAACGTTTGCTAGCTTAGCTTCTAGGTGTTCCAGTATTTTATCACATAAACCTACCTATTATGAACAAGCTACAATAGTTTCCAGTTTGGGTCTTGCCTTTCTCTCACTTTTATTACAGCATAATTCATACGCTCCAATTGCTAAAATTATAAATAACTGTCTGAAGTTATTCTTTTCATTCAATCATTTCCCATACTGCCGTTCGCCCCACGTGAGCAGCTAAAACTGAATTCGGCAAGAAAAAGCGACCACACAACAATAGTTCCTACCTTTATAGAAAAATATGTGTTCAGATTGAAATCGCACCATGATGTGTGCATTGCAGTTGTGTACATAAAAATAAGACAGGACACGTTTAATTTAACAAATCTTCAATTACTGCCACCTTTTTACAAAAGAAAAGTTGTTACAAAAAGTAAATGTAAAAATCATGATAAGTAAAGTAATTGTTTGGCTTTACGAGACACATTACCAGTTAAAATTACACAGGTAAAATTCCATGTCATACCATTGGAGGTGCGTTATGTTTAACTGATTATAAACATAACTATACTGGAAACAATATGGTTAGAATCCATTACATTCGTCTAATTCATATGATTGAATTGAAGTGCACGCTTTGGTATGGATAAGAATTAGTATTTGTAATCATTATACTGTAGAAGAAGGCTATATTGTCGTCTCATAAATAAACAGTAGCGGCTTAAACACACAAGTTATTAAGATGCATGATTAATTAAGTGACCTCCCTACTGGTAATTTTTTTTCTTAAACTCCATTGTTGGTTTTGGGCTTGTAAATAAGTGTTTCACTGTAATGTTGTACAGTGTTGTATTCGGCGCATGAGGCAAATAAAATTTGATTTGATCATGCACAAGAAGCCGGTGTTTGGAGGATATATTGGCACGGGTGTTGTTAGGCCCGAGACGAAGTCGAGTGCATCCTGTTTCTGTTGATCATCCTTGATGTTTCTTCAACTTGATTGAGTCCACCAGTGGTAAATTCAATTGATTGGATTTGATTGGGAAAGGCACACACCTGTCTTATTAAAAAGGTCCCACAGGTGACGAAGGAATTGTCCATAGAGCTCCGAGACAGGATTGTGTCAAGGCACAGATCTGGGGAAGGGTACCAAAACATTTCTGCAGCATTGAAGTTCCCCAAGAACACCAACACCAATTTGTAAGTCGCTCTGGATAAGAGCGTCTGCTAAATGACGAAAATGTAAATGTAAATGTAACACAGTGCCCTCCATCATTCTTAAATGGAAGAAGTTTGGAACCACCAAGACTCTTCCTAGAGCTGGCCCCCCGGCCAAACTGACAATCGGGGGACAAGGGCCTTGGTCAGGGAGGTGACCAAGAACCCAATGGTCACTCTGACAGAGCTCCAGAGTTCCTCTGTGGAGATGGGAGAACCTTCCAGAAGGACAACCATCTCTGCAGCACTCTCTGGTCTGATGAAACCAAGATTGAACTCTTTGGCCTGAATGCCTGCATAATGTCTGGAGGAAACCAGTGAAGCATGGTGGTGGCAGCATCATGCTGTGGGGATGTTTTTCAGCAGCAGGAACTGGGAGACTAGTCAGGATCGAGGGAAAGATGAACGGAGCAAAGTACAAAGAGATTCTTGATGAAAACCTGCTCCAGAGCGCTCAGGACCTGAGACTGGGGCGAAGGTTCACCTTCCAACAGGTCAATGACCCCAAGCACACAGCCAAGACAACGCAGGAGTTGCTTCAGGACAAGTCTCTGAATGTCCTTGAGTGGCCCAGCCAGAGCCTGGACTTGAACCCGATCGAACATCTCTGGAGAGACCTGAAAGTAGCCGTGCAGCGACACTCCCCATCCAACCCGACAGAGCTTGAGAGGATCTGCAGAGAATAGGAGAAACTCCAAGAATACTGGTGTGCCAAGCTTGTAGCGACATACCCAAGAAGACAAGGCTGTAATTGCTGCCGAAGGTGTTTCAACAAAGTACTAAGTAAATGTCTAAAAACCTGTTTTTGCTTTGTCATTAAGGGGTTATTGTGTGTAGATTGATGGAGGAAAAAAAGAATATGCTGTAATGTAACAAAATGTGGATACTTTGCACCAAATGCAAAACCCGTGCCAATATATCCTCCGAACACCGGCTTCTCTGGCATTATCACTTAAAGTAACACAATATATTCTTAGAAGCCTTTTTCAAATAGAATTCCCATGAATCCTATTTTCTCAATAGGGAGATAACAAATAAAACAGTTAGTGCTTAGCCTTTCTTTGGATATCAATCATCATCTCCCACTCCCTCAGCGGTGAATCTTCTGACATGTGATGAGATACTCAGGGTAGGCCTGTGTGTCGTTGAAGATAACAAACAGAGAGGGGTTGTCCGTCTTATCTGCCACGCTGTCGTATCGGAGTGGTATGTCAGCACTCTCCTTCAGAGGAGCAGCCTTCATCGAATGACTGCCCTGAGTGAAGTTCCCAGTCAGCACCTTGGTCACAAACACAAACTTGTGTCCATCTGCGTTGGGGGGAGAATACTGATCCTGGACGGACAGGGCCGAGTTCACAGCAAAGTAGACCCCCTGACCATACACAGTGGCTGCAGAGAGATCAGCATATACAAGAGAGGCCACATTATTACAACAGTCTACAATGAAAATAATGATGAATTGAAATGAAAATGCTGATGACCTACTGAGACTTAAATATGTTTTATTAGAAGGCCTTACCATTCTTTCCACAGAAGCTTCTGTTGAAGCCATGAACACAGATCTCTTTCATGCTGGTCTCGCTTGTGCCGTGGTACAAAGTCCGCTCCACTTCTGGGTCAGTGGCACTCTGATTTATACTAGCCTTCTTCAGTCTGTACTGGTTGTACAGGAGCCTATTCATCAGCTTCTCAACCTGGGAAATAAGATTAACATTAGAAGAATGGCTTCTGACATCACTGATACAATACAAAGTTAATGGTTAGTTGCTGTAGACATCGATAGATACTACATACCTTAATGATTCTGATTTCGTTGTGGTACTCATGTATGGAGTCGTAGAAGTCTTTCAAAACATCCTTGAACTCATCAGAATCCTTGTTCACTCTGGACGTTTCAGGCAGGTTGGACAGTAGACTGTAGTCCTCATCTGAATAACAGCAACATATTGTAACAATATAAGTGCAATACAGCTTGAAAGAAAACATTGCAACATATTAAATAGCTTTGTTAATATGAAGATAACAGGGATATTGCACCAGTAATTAAATAGCATCTCACAAATGTAATTCTTATCCCCCCCCATAACAATAAGCTCACATACAGTATTTGCAAAGTCCTCTTTACCTTGTATATCTGAGCTAAGCATCTTCCTGGAGATGGTTACTGACTTCCCAGAGGCCACGTTGTACTCCTGCATCTTCTCAAAGTTGATGAAGTGCAGCTGGTTGTTGAGCAGGATGTCAATCTTTTTCTGCCTCATCTTCCAGGCGTTCTCCATGAACACTGTCGCCTCCGGAGCGTACGGGATCTCCATCCCTGACGACACCGGATCGTGCCACACCATTGCACTGTCCGCAGGATGTCAGCGTCTGATGTCGTCGTGGAGATCCTCCTCAGTAGCAGCTTCATGTCCGGCATCGCCCCGATAACAAAGTCCTTGAACCCAGAGATGGTTGCCGTAGTTCCCTGGATGGTGATCTCCACAGCGTGTTTCCTCTTGATGAGGTCCAGACACCACCTGATTGATTGATTTAAATGACAATAAATTAAAGTGGCGGGCACCAATATTGAAAATTCCATATGATATCGTTGTCGTTTAATAATCGATATGAGCAGGCATATCGTAATAGAGGTTTATTCTTCCTGTTAACCTACACTATTCTGTAAAAAGCATACTTGACTGTTTCTGCATGCACAAAACCCTCTCAGAGTTTTTTTATTTTTATGGATCAGCTTAATATTGCAGATAGATTGTATCTTCTATCAATGTAATTGTCTGCATCACTTCCAATCCCCCATGTTTATTTTTTTATATATATATTCCCCTTTATTACTTTTCAACCCCACCATCCTTTCCCTACTTGGAGTAAATTAGTGAACAACAACGCCCAGGCCTCTACTTCCGGTCTATACTTACTATCTACACCTTATGGACAGAGTTAATTTTACAATACTTCTATATATATATATATATATATATATATATATATATATATATATATATATATTATATTTATTATTTTTTTTTTTTTGCTCCTGAACTACTTCTACTCTCAACCTCTCCGATCATTTTCATGATGTCCATCCGGTTTGCTTCTAAATGCCATATCTTTCTAACTGTGCTCTTTCCTAAAAGCTCCCAACATACAACCTATATACTTATTATGGACACAGTATGCTCTCAGAGTTACCATACTGAATTTCTTGCTGATGGGCCATCAACTGTGGATGGGCTTCTCATTGTATTCAAACTGGTTTGGTAGGTTTATGCTACAATAATATTCACACCTGGCCCAATGGGCAATCTGCAAGCAGTTGTCTGTACTTCACAAAAAAAGTAAACATTCACATTGTTGCAATGTATTTTCTACAAACCGATATGATATTGATATCGAATCGTTAAAAAAATGCAACTGAAATCTATATAGATTTTCCATATCGGTGCCCATCACTACAAAAAACACATAACTGTACACACACACATACCTGTGATACTGAGACAGGCTCCTCAGGCTGCGGTGCTCTAGCTTCTCCACATGCTGTTTAATAGTGATCCTCTTGTTCAGGGCAATGTCCACTCTGATCAGGTCACAACTGTAGCCAGCAAACACAAAGATTGTTGCCGTGTTGGCGGACTGGATGGCCTCCTGCAGAGACACCTGGACAGCCTGATCGAAGGTGGGAGCCAGCAGCAGGGAGGGAAACGATAGGCATGGCACAACCATCACCATCATGCCGAGTCATCTTCGTCATCTTCCTGGACAGCTCCAGAACCTTCTGCAGCTCCTCCTCCTCGTCGGCCAGGGACCTCTTGGTGGTCTCCATGGAGTACTGGATGGCCAGGGACATCTGGGCCTCCTCCTCCAGGGTAGTGGAGAGTTGCATGGCCCAGGACAGCTCTCCATCCTGAGTCACCACAGGAGCAGTAGCAGCTTCAGCTTCATCGTCACTTCCCCCTCCCTCCACCATGGGCAGTGGAGCCTCTTCCTCCACCTTGATGTTAGCGCTGTCTCTGTCTGGGCCCTGGTAAGTGCTGAGGGCCATGGGTTCCCTGGCCGTATACAGATCCTCCTCCATGCCAGTGGTTCTGGTCAAACTGGAGAGGCCAGAGTCCACCGTCTCATCTATGGCTGAGAACAGCCTCTTTGCCTCCTCTATACGACCTGGGATCAGTACATACGTTTTCAGTGATGAATTGCAAAACAACAATCCCAATAGAATAACTGAACATTATTCTGGCCACTGTGCTTCCATATGCTCTTTAGGGTCTAGGCTGTGTTACCGTACAACACTTTGTGACAAATGTTGTAAAAAGGGTTTTACAAATACATTTGATTGATATGAGAATAGTAAAATGAAAGTATGCACCTCTGTCTGAAGCTGAGAGGTTGTTGGAGGTCTGGATAGTGTGAGTCAGAATTGATGTTGAGGCCTGTAAGGAATCATCTAAGGAACTTCTCTGGAAGCTCTGATGGGACGACATATTCCACGCAGCCTCAAAGATGTCCTGTAGGGAGATGACAAAGCTAGAATACCACAACAGATATATATACACAGCTCAAAAAAATAAATGGAACACTTAAACAACACAATGTAACTCCAAGTCAATCACACTTCTGTGAAATCAAACTGTCCACTTAGGAAGCAACACTGATTGACAATACATTTCACATGCTGTTGTGCAAATGGAATAGACAACAGGTGGAAATTATAGGCAATTAGCAAGAGACCCCCAATAACGAAGTGGTTCTGCAGGTGGTGACCACAGACCACTTCTCAGTTCCTATGCTTCCTGGCTGATGTTTTGGTCACTTTTGAATGCTGGTGGTGCTTTCACTCTAGTGGTAGCATGAGACGGAGTCTACAACCCACACAAGTGGCTCAGGTAGTGCAGCTCATCCAGGATGGCACATCAATGCGAGCTGTGGCAAGAAGGTTTGCTGTGTCTGTCAGCGTAGTGTCCAGAGCATGGAGGCGCTACCAGGAGACCGGCCAGTACATCAGGAGACGTGGAGGAGGCCATAGGAGGGCAACAACCCAGCAGCAGGACCGCTACTTCCGCCTTTGTGCAAGGAGGAGCAGGAGGAGCACTGCCAGAGCCCTGCAAAATGACCTCCAGCAGGCCACAAATGTGCATGTGTCTGCTCAAACGGTCAGAAACAGACTCCATGAGGGTGGTATGAGGGCCTGACGTCCACAGGTGGGGGTTATGCTTACAGCCCAACACCGTGCAGGACGTTTGGCATTTGCCAGAGAACACCAAGATTGGCAAATTCGCCACTGGCACCCTGTGCTCTTCACAGATGAAAGCAGGTTCACACTGAGCACATGTGACAGACGTGACAGAGTCTGGAGACGCCATGGAGAACGTTCTGCTGCCTGCAACATCCTCCAGCATGACCGGTTTGGCGGTGGGTCAGTCATGGTGTGGGGTGGCATTTCTTTGCAGGTCCATGTGCTCGCCAGAGGTAGCCTGACTGCCATTAGGTACCGAGATGAGATCCTCAGACCCCTTGTGAGACCATATGCTGTTGCGGTTGGCCCTGGGTTCCTCCTAATGCAAGACAATGCTAGACCTCATGTGGCTGGAGTGTGTCAGCAGTTCCTGCAAGAGGAAGGCATTGATGCTATGGACTGGCCCGCCCGTTCCCCAGACCTGAATCCAATTGAGCACATCTGGGACATCATGTCTCGCTCCATCCACCAATGCCACGTTGCACCACAGACTGTCCAGGAGTTGGCGGATGCTTTAGTCCAGGTCTGGGAGGAGATCCCTCAGGAGACCATCTGCCACCTCATCAGGAGCATGCCCAGGCGTTGTAGGTAGGTCATACAGGCACGTGGAGGCCACACACACTACTGAGCCTCATTTTGACTTGTTTTAAGGACATTACATCAAAGTTGGATCAGCCTGTAGTGTGGTTTTCCACTTTAATTTTGAGGGTGACTCCAAATCCAGACCTCCATGGGTTGATACATTTGATTTCCATTGATAATTCTTGTGTGATTTTGTTGTCAGCACATTCAACTAAGTAAAGAAAAAAGTATTTAATAAGATTATTTCATTCATTCAGATCTAGGATGTGTTGTTTAAGTGTTCCCTTTATTTTTTTGAGCAGTGTATATATACAGTGGGGAGAACAAGTATTTGATACACTGCCGATTTTGCAGGTTTTCCTACTTACAAAAGCATGTAGAGGTACAGTGGGGGAAAAAAGTATTTAGTCAGCCACCAATTGTGCAAGTTGTCCCACTTAAAAAGATGAGAGAGGCCTGTAATTTTCATCATAGGTATACGTCAACTATGACAGACAAAATGAGAAAAGAAATCCTGAAAATCACATTGTAGGATTTTTAATGAATTTATTTGCAAATTATGGTGGAAAATAAGTATTTGGTCATAAGTTTCTCAATCTTGTTATATAACCCTTTGTTGGCCCATGACACCAGGTCAAACGTTTTCTGTACGTCTTAACAAGGTTTAAACACTGTTGCTGGTATTGGCCCTTCCTCCAGAAGATTCCTCTAGAGCAGTGAGTGTTTTGGGGCTGTCGCTGGGCAAACAGACTTTCAACTCCCTCCAAAGTTTTCATGGGGTTGAGATTGGAGGACTGGCTAGGCCAATCCAGGACCTTGAAAGTGCTTCTTTACGAAGACACTACTTCTTGCCCGGGCGGTGTGGTTTTGATCATGTCTGCTGAAAGACCCCAGCAGTTTCATCTTCAATGCCCTTGCTGATGAAGGAGGTTTTTCACTTCTCAAAAATCTCACGATACATGGCCCCATTCATTCTTTCCTTTACACGGATCACGTGTCTGGTCCTTGCAGAAAAAACAGCCCCAAAGCATGATGTTTCCACCCCATGCTTCACAGTAGGTATGGTGTTCTTTGGATGCAACTCAGCATTCTTTGTCCTCCAAACACGACGAGTTGAGTTTTTACCAAAAAGTTCTATTTTGGTTTCATCTGACCATATGACATTCTCCCAATCCTCTTCTGGATCATCCAAATGCACTCTAGCAAACTTCAGACGGGCCTGGACATGTACTGGCTTAAGCAGGGGGACACGTCTGGCACTGCAGGATTTGAGTCCCTGGCGGCGTAGTGTGTTACTGATGGTAGGCTTTGTTACTTTGGTCCCAGCTCTCTGCAGGTCATTCACTAGGTCCCCCGTGTGGTTCTGGGATTTTTGCCAGCCTGGTGCAGGTCTACAATTTTGTTTCTGGTGTCCTTTGACAGCTCTTTGGTCTTGGCCATAGTGGAGTTTGGAGTGTGACTGTTTGAGGTTGTGGACAGGTGTCTTTTATACTGATAACAAGTTCAAACAGGTGCCATTAATACAGGTAACGAGTGGAGGACAGAGGAGCCTCTTAAAGAAGAAGTTACAGGTCTGTGAGAGCCAGAAATCTTGCTTGTTTGTAGGTGACCAAATAATTATTTTCCACCATAATTTGCAAATAAATTCATAAAAAAATCCTACAATGTGATTTTCTTGATTTTTTTCTTCTCAATTTGTCTGTCATAGGTGACGTGTACCTATGATGAAAATTACAGGACTCTCTCATCTTTTAAAATGGGAGAACTTGCACAATTGGTGGCTGACTAAATACTTTTTTCCCCCACTGTATGTAATTTTTATCATAGGTACACTTCAACTGTGAGAGACGGAATCTAAAACAAAAATCCAGAAAATCACATTGTAGGATTTTTAAGTAATTAATTTGCATGACATAAGTATTTGATCACCTACCAACCAGTAAGAATTCCGGCTCTCACAGACCTGTTAGTTTTTCTTTAAGAAGCCCTCCTGTTCTCCACTCATTACCCTTATTAACTGCATCTGTTTGAACTCGTTACCTGTATAAAAGACACCTGTCCACACACTCAATGAAACAGACTCCAACCTCTCCACATTGGCCAAGACCAGAGAGCTGTGTAAGGACATCAGGGATAAAATTGTAGACCTGCACAAGGCTGGGATGGGCTACAGGACAATAGGCAAGCAGCTTGGTGAGAAGGCAACAACTGTTGGCGCAATTATTAGAAAAAAGAAGAAGTTCAAGATGACGGTCAATCACCCTCGGTCTGGGGCTCCATGCAAGATCTCACCTTGTGGGGCATCAATGATCATGAGGAAGGTGAGGGATCAGCCCAGAACTACACGGCAGGACCTGGTCAATGACCTGAAGAGAGCTGGGACCACAGTCTCAAAGAAAACTATTAGTACAGCTGCACCATCGAGAGCATCCTGACTGGTTGCATCACCGCCTGGTATGGCAACTGCTTGGCCTCCGACCGCAAGGCACTACAGAGGGTAGTGCGTACGGCCCAGTACATCACTGGGGCCAAGCTTCCTGCCATCCAGGACCTCTTTACCAGGCGGTGTCAGAGGAAGGCCCTCAAAATTGTCAAAGACTCCAGCCACCCTAGTCATAGACTGTTCTCTCTCTCTGCTACCGCACGGCAAGCGGTACCGGAGTGCCAAGTCTAGGTCCAAAAGACTTCTCAACAGCTTCTACCCCCAAGCCATAAGACTCCTGAACAGCTAATCATGGCTACCCGGACTATTTGCACTGCCCCCCCACCCCATCCTTTTTACGCTGCTGCTACTCTGTTAATTATTTATGCATAGTCACTTTAACTCTACCCACATGTACATATTACCTCAACTAGCCGGTGCCCCCGCACATTGACTCTGCAACGGTACCCCCCTGTATATATAGCCTCCCTACTGTTATTTTATTTTACTTCTGCTCTTTTTTTCTCAACACTTTTTTTGTTGTTGTTTTATTTTTACCTTTTTTGTTAAAAATAAAATGCACTGTTGGTTAAGGGCTGTAAGTAAGCATTTCACTGTAATGTCTGCACCTGTTGTATTCGGCGCATGTGACCAATACAATTTGATTTGATTTGATTAGTAACACACTATGCCGTCATGGATTAAAATCCTGCAGCGCACACAAGGTCCCCCTGCTCAAGCCAGCGCATGTCCAGGCCTGTCTGAAGTTTGCCAATGACCATCTGGATGATCCAGAGGAGGAACGGGAGAAGGTCATGGGGTTTGATGAGACAAAAATATAGCTTTTTGGTCTAAACTCCACTCGCCGTGTTTGGAGGAAGAAGAAGGATGAGTACAACCCCAAGAACACCATCCCAACCGTGAAGCATGGAGGTGGAAACATCATTCTTTGGGGATGCTTTTCTGCAAAAGGGACAGGACGACTGCACCGTATTGAGGGGAGGATGGATGGGGCCATGTATCGCGAGATCTTGGCCAACAACCTCCTTCCCTCAGTAAGAGCATTGAAGATGGGTCGTGGCTGGGTCTTCCAGCATGACAACGACCCGAAACACACAGCCAGGGCAACTAAGGAGTGGCTCCGTAAGAAGCATTTCAAGGTCCTGGAGTGGCCTAGCCAGTCTCCAGACCTGAACCCAATAGAACATCTTTGGAGGGAGCTGAAAGTCCGTATTGCCCAGCGACAGCCCCGAAACCTGAAGGATCTGGAGAAGGTCTGTATGGAGGAGTGGGCCAAAATCCGTGCTGCAGTGTGTGCAAACCTGGTCAAGAACTACAGGAAACGTATGATCTCTGTAATTGCAAACAAAGGTTTCTGTAACAAATATTAAGTTCTGCTTTTCTGATGTATCAAATACTTATGTCATGCAATAAAATGCAAATGATTTACTTGAAAATCATACAATGTGATTTTCTGGATTTTTTTTTTAGATTCCGTCTCTCACAGTTGAAGTGTACCTATGATAAAAAGTACAGACCTCTACATGCTTTGTAAGTAGGAAAACCTGCAAAATCGGCAGTGTATCAAATACTTGTTCTCCCCACTGTGTGTGTGTGTGTGTGTGTGTGTGTGTGTGTGTGTGTGTGTGTGTTATATATATATATATATATATATATATATACACACATACATACACACACAGTGGGGAGAACAAGTATTTGATAGAATAAGACTGAAACGTAACAATGTGGAAAAAGTCAAGGGGTCTGAATACTTTCCGAATGCACTGTATACTGTATTTGTCTCTATATGTCTCTCTCTCTCTCATATATATATATATATATATATATATATATATATATATATATATATATATATATATATATATATATATATATATGAGAGAGAGAGACATATAGAGACAAATACAGTATACAGTGCATTCGGAAAGTTGATCTATATATGAGAGAGAGAGACATATAGAGACAAATACAGTATACAGTGCATTCGGAAAGTATTCAGACCCCCTTGACTTTTTCCACATTGTTACGTTTCAGTCTTATTCTAAACTGGATTAAGTTGTTTTTCCCCCCTCTGAAATATCACATTTACATAAGTATTTAGACCCTTTACTCAGTACTTAGTTGAAGCACCTTTGGCAGCGATTAAAGCCTCGAGTCTTCTTGGGTATGACGCTTCAAGCTTAGCACACCTGTATTTGGGGAGTTTCTCCCATTCTTCTCTGCAGATCCTCTCAAGCTCTGTCAGGTTGGATGGGGAGCGTCGTTGCACAGCTATTTTCAGGTCTCTCCAGAGATGTTCGATCGGCTTCAAGTCCGGGCTCTGGCTGGGCCACTCAAGGACATTCAAAGACTTGTCCCGAAGCCACTCCTGCGTTGTCTTGGCGGTGTGCTTAGGGTCGTTGTCCTGTTGGAAGGTGAACCTTTGCCCCAGTCGGAGGTCCTGAGTGCTCTGGAGCAGGTTTTCATCAAGGATCTCTCTGTACTTTGCTCCATTCATCCTTCCCTCGATTCTGACTAGTCTCCCAGTCCCTGCCACTAAAAAACATCCCCACAGCATGATGCTGCCACCACCATGCTTCACCGTAGGGAAGGTTTCCTCTAGACATTCAGGCCAAAGAGTTCAATCTTAGTTTCATCAGACCAGAGAATCTTGTTTCTCTTTAGGTGCCTTTTGGCAAACTCCAAGCGGGCTGTCATGTGCCTTTTACTGAGTGGTAGATAATTACAATTCGGCTACCTCATTTGCTAGTTAATTAGTAATGGTACAGTCTATATTAATGTCTTTATCACTGAGCCAGCTACCTCGTTCTCCAGGGGTTCCCAGTGCACCTTCTCCATGTTTATGTAGACCTGGAACTTAGTCTGCATCTCCCTGAGGATGCTGGTCCCCTCCCCCTCCTGGATGAGGAACCGCGCCACGCCCGGCTGTTTCACCGTGATGGTTCTGGTCTCGGTGGACGACACCACGCCCCTCAGAACCTCATCAGCCATTTGACATGCCCCAGCGTTGCCTTGGATCTACCAATCACAGTCACATGGATGATTAAAGAGGTGGAAAGTTTATAAGACCATCATTTACCAAGACATCTGATACCCTTTTCACGACAGCATGCACATTTTAGCCGTACTATGCTGACTGAGATATTTTCTTTTCACATTGTCCTCTCCAGCATGTGTAACCAGTATAGTTTAGCTTGATTCGGTAGTGTGAAAAGGGTATGAGAGAATGTATATAATGGAATGCATGCTTTTATGATTATTCTAAAACGTCAAACACCTACTCTGAGTCCACAGATGTCATGTGCGTCCAAAGGGAAGATAGACACCTGGTTCATATCAGCCAGTAGCTGGTGACGGTGGGTCTGGATGTACTTCAACATGCCTGGCTCCATAGAGATGATAGCCTCCGTTTCAATGGGTGTACTGAGGAACTCTACTATTTTAGCCTGCTTCTCCTCCTCCAACCCTCTCAGAGTCAGGACATCTATCTGTCCTCTTTCTGACACCTTAGCTGAGCAGAGACCCAGAGACTGGAGGAAGCTAGTCCACTCCTGGGCGTACAACATACACTCATACTCTCTGTCCACAGGGATACTGAAGTCAGACAGCAGGGTCTTCAACATGCTACATGCCTGGCTCACCAAGCTGAGAGACAGAGACGTTACCACGATGACACAGTCCGACACGGTGTACATGGACGGCAGCCCCTTTTCCTTCAACGTCTGCAGCAGCCTGTCCTTCACTTCCTGTTTGGCCAGGAAGTGGGCCTTCTCGGGGTCAAAGGTGAGATGAGCCTGGGTCACGCCCCCAAGGAACTCCAACACAGCATTCTTCAGCTGCTCCAACACTAGCCGGTCAGGCCCGGCCATGTGGACCCCGTCCTCCCTGATCTGGATGCTACAGCCTTGGTGGGCCAGCTGGAGGCTCTGGGGCAGGGGACTGAGCTGGAGCAGGGTGAGTTTCACGGGGTCTGGGACGGAGATGTGGCTAGACATGGGCTCTGGGGTCGACGTTAGGTCATCCATGCCTCCCTGGGCTGCTGCTGCATGGGACAGAGTGGGGACCAAAGGCTCAGAGGTAGCCTGGTGGGAGGACTGAGAACGGTCACTGGTACTGGCTGCAGGGAGAGAACCAGTCTGTGATTGACCACCACTGACTGTCTGCTGTGTGTTCGTTGTGCTACTATCTGATGTTCCATTCAGAGAGGTCAGGGGAGAGGTCAGAGGTGAGGAGGAGCTGTCCTCTGATTGGAGGAAGGAGAAGTAAGGACTGACTGTTAGATCTGTCTCCTCCATCTTGTGTGATTGGTTAAGGACACGTTCCACTGCTGTTAGATGCAATAACAAGGAAGGGAATAAAATACATTAAATAGCTGCATAGAACTCGCATGCTTTATACCTCTGCTTTATAGCTTTTATGTTGCATTGACATACAACATCTAACAACATAATTACTTTAAACGGATACAACAGCTACAACGGAATTGCTTGTATACAAACAGATGAAGCCCTTATGATGATGTCCTTAACATAACTTACATCCAAACAAAAAGTTGGTAGAGATACAGTACATTAAAAAAGTCTATGTTCAAAACTTACAGTCAAAGTCCAGGAAGGAGACCCTGGCAACCCCCTCTGACCTCATGGTGACCTCCTTAACTTCACCGCGCCCGCCCCGTTGGCTCTCCAGGTACAGATTAAGCATGTCTGCTGTGATGCTGGGGTGCAGGTTCTCCATTAGGATGGAGTCAGTTTGATCGATCTGTTCCAGAACGATCTGCGCTCCATCCAGAGGCTTCTTAGAGATCTTTGTGCAAAGCTTCTGGAAGTCTGTGCATGCAAAATAAGGAAGAATATACACATTAACTATATTGTATGCAAAAGCATAGCCACTTACAATAGATTTGTAATTATATTGTTTGCCAAATCATGAGCCGTCCTCAATTACTTAAAATCTGTGGTTTAATTGTGATGATACTTAACTTTTATCCAAATTTCAAACTTTCTAAAAAGGTTTTTAAAGTGATACTGACAGGCTTAAAGCTAGAATCCTTAAAGGCATACTTCAGGATTTTGGCAATGAGGCTCTTTATCTACTTCCCCAGTCAGATGAACTTGTGGATACCATTTGTCTCTCTACCCAGTATGAAGGAAGTTAGAAGTAGTTTTGCTAGCCAATGCCAACTAGCATTAGCGCAATGACTGGAAGTCTATGGGTATCTGCTAGCATGTCCCACCTCTCCCATCTCCTCATAGATTTTTAGGAGCATATACCCAAAAATTAACAGAGGTCCACACTCCAGTCCAGTTGGTGGTGGTAATGCACCTTAAAGTTGGTTGCCAACCGCCATATAAAGTCCAAAGAAGAACAAGAAGAAGCCTGAAGGAGGAGAGATTACTAGAAACTAACTCGGTTTACCCTTTTATCTGTGGATTAATTGTTGGCGTAGAGGATCTTGTGCATTTCAGGTAAAATAACAACCCAATGTTTATATCCCATGCCAAATTAGCTAGCAACAGCAAGCTAGCTAGCTAAATTGCCATAAACGTTTAATGCTTTTCGACCTGTCCCCAAATTAATATAGTTGGTTCAGAGTTCGTTTTGATATTTCAACCTGCGTGTCCTGATGTCGTCTGGTGTGGGTGGACAAAATCAACATGCGCGCACCCGGTCTAGTCAGCATGTTAACGCATAGATTTTCCTTTGTACTTCCTCATTTTCGCCATTTGTTTGCCATGCGTCCTTGATAAAAATAGCATTTATTCCAATGCATTAGATTTATCCGTTGATTTATATTGTTTAGCTTTTGTCAGTCAGCTGTTTAGAGCACTCATTGCTCACTTTCAGGTGCGCGTGAGTACTGGTGTTCTCCGTGGCATCTGTGGCTAGAAGTGCGCATCCAATCCATCCAACAAGTAGGCTATACGTTAATAACAGTAGGCCTATGGTTGACTCTTTCGGTTAGAAGCATTCAATTTTGCAATGGCATAAGCCTACATTATTTTGGATTTGTGTGCCCATGAGAACTGTTTTCATGGATGAAATGTTACGTAGGCATAGTTACATTTAAAAGTGCATTTTCCGAGATCTCCATGAGTCGTACAGGGTTTAAGTTCAATCTTCTAATTCAATTGTTAAATGATTAATAATGACAAATAACACTGTCAAATGTCATTAATGTAAGGAAAGAAAGGTAGTGTTTTATGTCACAATCTGTGAAGACAATCTGTGAAGACTATTAATTATGGACAACTCAAGAACTAGGGTGTAAAACATGTTTTGATTCAAATCATGTATTATATTGAATGTAGGCTACCTATTCTGCATGTGTTCATGTGTTTACAATGGCCTTGGCTGAGAGGGTAGGCTACCGTCAGTGGTATAGGCCTAGCGGAGGGTAAACCCAAATAAGCGCTGTTTACCCACCTTTAAAAAAAGAAATTCATTGAAAGTATAGGGAGCATTACTTTTTTCACCACAACCGGCAATCAGAGTTTCCCCACCAATTTTGTTAAACACTACATCACTGGCTACCGGTAGGCCTATTTGAAGTTCATGGTAATACACATTGTAGTCTAGTAAGTTGACCCTGTGTGTTAGGGTGACCATCCCATTTTTCCCGGGACAGTTTCAGCCCATTTCAGGTGTCCCGACTTTTCAAGCTACAAAAAATGTAAATTAGTCAGCAAGACGCATCAATTAATGTAGGCCTAATCAATGACAATCGCTGAATTTCATTAGGCACACTTTTTGGTGTTTTGTAACAGTAGGCCTATACATGGATGCTGGAGTTATTTTGGAGTGGACGAACATGCCTACTTTTGAAGTGATTTGTTTGACAATCAGATGAAAATATCATAACTGGTTGTGTTCATGCCACATAAAAAAGGGAATTCATTTTTACCGTTTAAATGACTTCTTTATTATAAGGCCTATAAAATAGCTTTGAGCAAGTGCATGCACTCAATGACCCCCCCAAATATCATGGTGTAATTCGCACTCTGCACGTACGTTTGCGATATTACAACAAAGAAGTTACTGCAAACAACGAACACTGCTTTTCCCCCCCTCGGACATCATTGCACACGCAATAGAAGAACACAATATGTACTACCGTGTTTTTACCATGCTGTGCGACACTCCTCAGCTCGGCAACAACAAAAAAGAACAAGGGTGGTAGGGCGGCCAGTGGCGCTGTTTCCCCTACTGCAGATTCCATCTTTAACCCTGTACAGTCTAAGCCGGAGGGGGGTTCTACTAAGCTACATGGAATTGTTTTAAGAAGGTCATACCAAGGTTACTTTAGCTAGAATTTTAAAGACCCCTTTAAGTATTTTCTTTTTTGGGCCTTTCTGCTATTAGCCCATACAAACGCATTAAATAGCAGATTCACTACATGGCACAACAGATAGTCCCAAAAAGTGTTACAGGGATACAACTGTTGTTCAGGAGTTTCACCCCATTGTCATGATCAGTGGTTTCAAGTTTGTATCCCTACATTTTTGACAAGCTAATCATAGCTAAAAATAAAATACTTCTGCATTTCCCGCTGTGTAAACACATTGCTAATTGGCTTGCGACAACTCCTGATAAAGTTGGGTAGCTGACATTCAGAGCTTAAATAGCCAAATTGATTAGTCACAGGAATCAGGACTAATAAAGCAGTTGCAATGGCCTGTTTTACAAACGGTGGGCCTAGCACATGGACGGGCATTCATAAAATTCCATTGCGGGCCTACATGGTAGCACGAGCTGATGTCTTTTTTTTTGGTCCTATCTGGACGTCGTTTTTTGGTGTTTTACAAAACGATAGGCTTACCACATACAGTGGGGGAAAAAAGTATTTAGTCAGCCACCAATTGTGCAAGTTCTCCCACTTAAAAAGATGAGAGAGGCCTGTAATTTTCATCATAGGTACACGTCAACTATGACAGACAAAATGAGAGAAAAAAAATCCAGAAAATCACATTGTAGGATTTTTAATGAATTTATTTGCAAATTATGGTGGAAAATAAGTATTTGGTCACCTACAAACAAGCAAGATTTCTGGCTCTCACAGACCTGTAACTTCTTCTTTAAGAGGCTCCTCTGTCCTCCACTCGTTACCTGTATTAATGGCACCTGTTTGAACTTGTTATCAGTATAAAAGACACCTGTCCACAACCTCAAACAGTCACACTCCAAACTCCACTATGGCCAAGACCAAAGAGCTGTCAAAGGACACCAGAAACAAAATTGTAGACCTGCACCAGGCTGGGAAGACTGAATCTGCAATAGGTAAGCAGCTTGGTTTGAAGAAATCAACTGTGGGAGCAATTATTAGGAAATGGAAGACATACAAGACCACTGATAATCTCCCTCGATCTGGGGCTCCACGCAAGATCTCACCCCGTGGGGTCAAAATGATCACAAGAACGGTGAGCAAAAATCCCAGAACCACACGGGGGGACCTAGTGAATGACCTGCAGAGAGCTGGGACCAAAGTAACAAAGCCTACCATCAGTAACACACTATGCCGCCAGGGACTCAAATCCTGCAGTGCCAGACGTGTCACCCTGCTTAAGCCAGTACATGTCCAGTTCCGTCTGAAGTTTGCTAGTGTGCATTTGGATGATCCAGAAGAGGATTGGGAGAATGTCATATGGTCAGATGAAACCAAAATATAACTTTTTGGTAAAAACTCAACTCGTCGTGTTTGGAGGACAAAGAATGCTGAGTTGCATCCAAAGAACACCATACCTACTGTGAAGCATGGGGGTGGAAACATCATGCTTTGGGGCTGTTTTTCTGCAAAGGGACCAGGACGACTGATCCGTGTAAAGGAAAGAATGAATGGGGCCATGTATCGTGAGATTTTGAGTGAAAACCTCCTTCCATCAGCAAGGGCATTGAAGATGAAACGTGGCTGGGTCTTTCAGCATGACAATGATCCCAAACACACCACTCGGGCAACGAAGGAGTGGCTTCGTAAGAAGCATTTCAAGGTCCTGGAGTGGCCTAGCCAGTCTCCAGATCTCAACCCCATAGAAAATCTTTGGAGGGAGTTTAAAGTCTGTGTTGCCCAGCGACAGCCCCAAAACATCACTGCTCTAGAGGAGATCTGCGTGGAGGAATGGGCCAAAATACCAGCAACAGTGTGTGAAAACCTTGCAGAAAACGTTTGACCTGTGTCATTGCCATCAAAGGGTATATAACAAAGTATTGAGAAACTGTCACGGTTTCGGCCGAGGCAGCTCCTTGTTCGGGCAGGCTTCGGCGGTCGTCGTCTCCGGAGTACTAGCTGCCACCGTTCGATGTTTCATGTTTGATTGGTTTTGTCTGTTTGTTACACCTGTTTATTGTTAAGTGTTCATTAGGCACCCTATTTAGTTCTCTTGTGTTTGGTCAGGTGTTGTGTGTAATTGTTCGATGTCACGTGTTGTTGTTGGTCCTCTGTTTTGTGCTCTCTGTATTCGTTTTGTTTAGAGAGTCCTGCACGTTGTGCGTACTTACTTTGGACAGTCCGGTGTGCGTTTGTTTTCGCCTGTGGCCTGTTGCCGTGTTTGGCTTGTACTAACGGACTTCACTAAAGACATCTGTTTTCGAATCTCTGTGTCCTGCGTGTGATTCCACGTTCCCTCTACACTCAACCCTGACAGAAACTTTTGTTATTGACCAAATACTTATTCTCCACCATAACTTGCAAATAAATTCATAAAAAATCCTACAATGTGATTTTCTGGAAATTTTTTTCTCATTTTGTCAGTCATAGTTGACGTGTACCTATGATGAAAATTACAGGCCTCTCTCATCTTTTTAAGTGGGAGAACTTGCACAATTGGTGGCTGACTAAATACTTTTTTCCCCACTGTAGATGGGCATTCATAAAATACAATTTCAGGCAACACTGTAGGCTACACCTCAGTAAGCAAGGCTCTTTTTGGACATATTTTCTTGGTGCAGTTCCGGACCACGTCAGTTTCCACATCCACGTCTATGTTTGGTTCAGATTTTGTCCGGTCTGGACCAGCCTTGATTTGGACAAAACATAGACGTCTATAAATTATTTATTTTCAACTTTCATAAAAATAAAAAATAAAGGAAAATAAGTATTTTTCAACGTCAGGAAAATATGCCTTTTCAAAGTCCTGGAAAATACCTTTTCACCTTTCATTCAGAACCTAATTGAACCTAACTTCAACGTCTGGAAAATACTTATTTTAGACGTCTTTTCAACGTCATTTTGCTTACTGGGACTTTTCAAGTTTCGGGAGGGCTGGCATTTTTTGGTCTCGCCTATGGCGGCAGAACGGCAAGGACCGGCCCTGCACGTGGCTACATGTAGCTCTCGCTAAAAGCAAGTGTGTCTACTCATGAGCGCTCATGCTGTAAACACAGTCCAGTTCAAAGTGAATGGCACAGATCCATATATAGCAATGGTATATTTGCATATAGGCCTACTGCAGTTTTGATTGGTTATGTCGCAACGGACTGTGTCGAGTACAGGCTGAGTCGTGCGTGTCAATGCAATAGAATCCTACTCAGATGCGTTCTGCCTACAAAATCTCTTGCATAGTTCGTTTTGTTTCAATATGTTGCATTGAAAGTGGATAATATTGCATTGATTAGATCACAATTGACACAGTAAAGGGAAACGTTTATAGTGTTAAGGGAGAAAATTCTAGAAAGTTCAGTGCTTCTCTGCACGGGTTGATATTTATTCTGCGCCCGCGCAGCTTAGAGGGAACATTGGTCTCATGTTCTAACAAACACCGTCGCTCTAGCTCTGTCACCTTTAACCGCAGATGCGGAAATGCGACATCGGTGGATGCGGTGGATTGAGACGCTTCCAACGCAAAAAAACATCTCTAGCTTAAACTGACAGATTTTTATGGGGATTAATTGTTTATGCTAATTAAATTTCCGCTGGGCTGCCGAAATCGACTCTAGGGGGTTAAACTTAATAGGAAAACCCCAAACCTTTATTGAAGGCCTGATGGAAGTGTACTAGGACCAGGTCCCTGCCAGGTGAGGGGTAGAGAGTGTAGTCGTCTATGTCCATCCCCATCATGTTCTCTACATACAGCTCCACCAGATCCTGACTGGTGGTTGGGTTAACCCCCCGCAGCAACAACCTCCGTGGATCCTTACACGCAGGCTTCCTCACGGTCAGCTCAGCATTGTTCAGGACATGTGGTCTTTTAGACAGGACCCTTGATGCGACTGTCAATCAAAGACAGACATAATCAGCATGCCATGGATGGCAATACATGAATAGTTTTTTAGTACAATAATATCATGAATTTGTGGACCACTGAAAGACTAGTTGTCGCTAAGACATCAGCTTATGGGGATCCAGATAAACAAAAAAATCATAGATTCTGATGTGTAGGTTCATAAAGTGAAACTTATTGGCCTTCAACATTATATCAGATCACAATAATTACACAGACTGAATCTATCCTTACCCTCTGCCTCTTCAAACAGCAGTAAAGCCCGGCTCCCTTCCAGCTTCACAGACACCAGACTACCTCCTCCAGAACGACGCTTGTTCTCAAAGTACAAATACAGCAGCTCATCCTCCACCTCCTCCGGTACTCCCAGCACCTCCACTGTCCGGTTCTCTTGGCTTTCAACAGACATCCTGACATACAGACAGCACAGGAATAATCAATGGGATTGATTGATAGACAATCTTTACAACTTTTCTCTTCGGAAGAGTATAGACTACTGTAGTGCAAAGTACAAGGCACTATATATACACAAGTATGTGGACACCCCTTCAAATGAGTGGATTTGGCTATTTCAGCCACACCCGTCTCCATAGACAAACATTGGCAGTAGAATGGCCTTACTGAAAAGCTCAGTGACTTTCAACGTGGCACCGTCATAGGATGCCACCTTTCCAACAAGTGAGTTCGTCAAATTTCTGCCCTGCTAGAGATGCCCCGGTCAACTGTAAGTGCTGTTATTGTTAAGTGGAAACGTCTAGGAGCAACAACACCTCAGCCGCGAAGTGGTAGGCCACACAAGCTCACAGAACAGGACCGCTGAGTACTGAAGCGCATAAAAATAGTCTGTCCTCGGTTGCAACACTCACCAACGAGTTCCAAACTGCCTCTGGAAGCAACATCAGCACAAGAAGTGTTCGTTAGGGAGCTTCATAAAATGGGTTTCCATGGCTGAGAAACCGCACACAAGCCTAAGATCACCATGCACAATGCCAAGCGTCGGCTGGAGTGGTGTAATACAAATATCTGGGTGTCCTTTTGGACAATAAGCTTCAGTGGAGTAAATGTACAGACCTGATCTACAATATGCTTCAGCAGAGACTGTACTTTCTCAAAATGCTGGGATCTTTTAATGTTGACTTTACTATACTGACTGTTTTACAAATCTTTCATTGAGAGTATTTAAGCTTTTTGTATCGTCTGTTGGTTTGGCAATGCCACTGTCAGCCAGAAAAATATGCTGAGAAGGATTATCACCACAGTAAGTCAGGTACTTGGAGTCAAACAGACAGGCTTGGATGAGATCCTCAGCAAGGCTCACGAAATCATTTTAGACCCAAGCCACCCCCTGTACCCGGAATGAATTTAAAGGCCACTTTAAACGTGTACATGATACTGCAACAAAATTTCCCCATGGGAACAATAAAGTCAGTAAAGTAAAGTAAACCTCGCCACCATTGGACTCTGGAGCAGTGGAAATGCGTGATTCATCACTCTAGAGAACGCTTCACCATCTGGCATTCCGATGAATCTGGGTTTGGCGGATGCCAGGAGAACGCTAATGCATAGTGCCAACTGTAAAGTTTGGTAGAGGTGGAATAATGGTCTGGGGCTGTTTTTCATGGTTCGGGCTAGGCCCCTTGGTTCCAGTGAAGGGAAATCTTAACGCTACAGCATACAATGACATTCCCTCCTGAGTGGCGCAGTGGTCTAAGACACTGCATCGCAGTGCTAGCTGTGCCACTAGAGATCCTGGTTCGAATCCAGGCTCTGTCGCAGCCGGCCGCGACCGGGAGACTCATGGGGTGGCGCACAATTGGCCCAGGGTAGGGGAGGGAATGGCCGGCAGGGATGTAGCTCAATTGGTAGAGCATGGCGTTTGCAACGCCAGGGTTGTGGGTTCGATTCCCACGGGGGGGGGCAGTATGAAATAATGTATGCACTGTAAGTCGCTCTGGATAAGAGCGTCTGCTAAATGACTAAAATGTAGACGATTCTGAGCTTCCAACTTTGTGGCAACAGCTTGGGGAAGGCCCTTTCCTGTTTCAGCATGACAATGCCCCTGTGCACAAAGCGAGGTCCATATAGAAATGGTTTGTCGAGATCGGTGTGGAAGAACTTTACTGGCCTGGAAGCAAGTCCCCACAGCAATGTTCCAACATCTAGTGGAAAGCCTTCCCAGAAGAGTGGAGGCTGTTATAGCAACAAAGGGGGGACCCACTCCATATTAATGCCCATGATTTTGGAATGAGATGTTCGACGAGCAGGTGTCCACATACTTTTGGTCATGTAGTGCAAGTACTGAACCATAGCCAGCACTGACTGGGCCTAGTTTGAGCACATCTACAGCCAGGTGTGTATTGACTGTGTAATGTGCATTGATCACAAAATGTGTCCTATTTGGCTACAAAAGTAATGAGTTAAGTTGACTTAAATACAAATAAAACAAATACTTCGCTGAATATAATAGAATGTGGGGGATTTTTCTGTACATTTGTACTCATTACGGAAGAAACAAAACTGAAACCATCTTCGACGTACAACATTGCAAGTAGCACTGAGAGCAAATGACACAATTGCATAATAATAACTCTCACTGGGTATAAATATGAGCTTCTCCTTAGTTGTCGGGTGAAAAAAGCTTTGAAACACACCTTTATTCGCAGTTTATAGGGAAAACTTACCTGGTATACAAGCATTCTCATCACGAACCACAGAAATGTCTTCTTCTTCGATGAGGTTTAATGGCGGTTGGCATCCAATACATGTTGCATTACTGCCGCCTACTAGACTGGAGTATAACTCCCTTATACTTCGCTTAAAAATACAAAATATAATACAACCAAAACCCTACCATCTAAAACTACACTCACATATAAAATAAAATAAATAAATAAATAATAATATCTACCATACTCCCCTATTTAAATATATTTATTCCTACTTCAGGCCAACAGCCTGAAAGGATGGGACACCACCACTTAACACACCCTGTAACTCTTCTGATGTCAAGTCTTGCACACCCAAATACCTCTCTGCAACTGCCACCACAACCTATATTTTCTGCGACTTACGTTCCATCCCTGCAGTACAGTTGATAACCATTGCTATAAATGCCAAAAATCCAATCTTACTGAAACATATATCACTTGTTGGTTTATCCCTCTGTACTGGTACATATATATTACTCACACCATTCCTCTCAGGATCCCTCCCACTTGATCCATCTTCCTCTACTTTCTTCACTGCCTCAGCATATGACAACTTCTGCACTACTCTAACCCTGGAAACCTCAACCTGCCTCTCTCGCACCGGACATTTCGTATCCCCAGTCACATGGGCACCACTACAATTTACACATACCACCACTTTCCCCATCTTCTTTAACAAACCATCTCCCTTTTTTCTGTCATTTTTAACCGACTCAAACTCCCCCTCTTCCTCCCTCTCTCTCTTAGACCTCCTCTGCCTCTCTTTTCACCTCCATTCCTCCTCCGTATTCCAAGTATAACTCTCCTTATGAAAATACTGCACTTCTACTGACATACATTACCAGTCAAAAGTCTGGACACACCTACTCAATCAAGGGTTTTTCTTTATTTTTACTATTTTTTACATTGTAGAATAATAGTGAAGACATCAAAACTATGAAATAACACATATGGAATCATGTAGTAACCAAAAAAGTGTTAAACAAATCAAAATATATTTTATATTTGAGATTCTTCAAATAGCCACCCTTTGCCTTGATGACAGCTTTGCACACTCTTGGCATTACATTTTCAGTAGCAAGGCCACTTGAATAAGTAGGCCTAAATAGTCAGAATATCCTAATCGGTTTTGCTAAATATGCAAATGTTCATGGAACATGAGGTCATATGGAGGGGTGAGAGTCAGAGGACACTTATGATTCTAGCTAGGTTATTTAGTAGGTCTGTTCATGACTGCAATGTAGTCCTACACTATAATTTGTAGCCTCATGTATGTATCCATACATGTTTATACCTTCAACAAGAGAGACTCAGGAGAACAAAGATGGTATTCTCATTATGATCTTGTAAAGCAGAACCATTGGCAAATAATACAGTTTATCCATTATCCACTAGGTGACAGTGTCCTCTAATGTACTGTTACGTGATCTGTGTCTGTGTGTGTGTGTTAAAAAAAATGTGGAGCATGTAATCATCACTGATATTCAATTAATTGATCATCAATAATTATACTCATACATAGTGTTCCTGGTCTCCTTTTTTAAACAAACACATTTTTATTAAAATGAAACATGTTACAGGTTCTCAAAACGTGCAAAAATAAATCATGGGGAGATCTCAATTGTATACTCCTCGTATCCTCGCTCCGCATTTCTTTCTCAAAACCCATTGGAGGAGAAGGTCAGAGGGGAAGGACCTCTGGCTTTCTTATCCAATGGGTTTTGAGAAGGAGACAAGGAGAGAGGACGTGAGGAGTATCCAATTGAGATCTTTCCCACAGCTCAAAACCATTTATGGTAGAGGTGGAATAATGGTCTGGGCTGTTTTTCATGGTTCGGGCTAGGCCCCTTAGTTCCAGTGATCTTAAATCTTAACGCTACAGCATACAATGACATTCTAGACGATTCTGTGCTTCCAACTTTGTGGCAACAGTTTGGGAAAGGCCCTTTCCTATTTCAGCATGACAATGCCCCCGTGCACAAAGCGAGGTCCATATAGAAATGGTTTGTCGAGATCAGCGTGGAAGAACTTTACTGGCCTGCACAGAGGCCTGACCTCAACCCCATCGAACACCTTTGGGATTAATTGGAACGTCGACTGCGAGCCAGGCCTAATCGCCCAACATCGGGGGGGGGGGGGGGGAAGAAATAAGACTTTGGAGCAATGGAAATATCCATTGACTAATGCAGGAATATCAATTATCTTACCTTGTCACTTCTTCTGTGAGAATTTTCTTTGCTGCTAAAAGGTTAAATGAAAGTAAACAAGAGAAAGAAGTGTAAAATGTATTTTAAATGTATGAATGAGTGCAATAACATAAGATTCAAGCACCCTGTGTAAAAGTAAAGGTTGAGTGGTTCTGAATCTAACTGCCTTCAATGATATCACATTGAATAAACTTCAAACAAATATTCCCCTCAGTGATAGGTCACTACAGTTTCCCATCATCGTTAAAGGTCTGATACATCTCTCTGTATCAGTCCAACTAGTAGAGCTGTATTTTGAGAAATCCCAAACATCTGAAAAGCCTTTAATAAAACATAATACTGTATTTGGTCATGAGTTAATGCAGAGCTGGCATGAGCAGCAACTTGTAATACTGTACATGTTAAATCATTTATCAAAGAATATTGCACTGATCCCTCTCAAGAATATCATAGGCACTTTAGACCTGCTTAAGTAGTAATATGAATATCATGGAAAAGACACTTAATTT